TGTCAAATAAATAAATAAAATCTTTTAAAAAAAAATTAATGTTAGTTAAAAACCTTAGTGTCGTGTTCAATACACTTCAGTTTTTTTTTTCCCTCTCAGTGTAGCCTGAAATTTGATAGTCAAATAATTGATCTACTTCCAATCAAGAAAACACTTCTGATTCTCACAGTATGCTACTGAATAATTTATGAAAATAAAGTGGATATTGACTGGAGATAGTATCATACATACACTGTCCTTTAACAGACATTTATTCTCACGGGCTTTAGTTTACCTGTCTCAAATACATAAATTTAAAACAACCCAGGGACACCTGGGTGGCTCAGTCACTTAAGCATCCAACTCTCCATTTTGGCCCAGATCATGATTTCAGGGTCATGAGTCCCATTTAGGAATCCCTCCTCAGTGGGGAGTCTGCTGAAAATTCTCACCTTCTGACCCTCCTCCCATTTGTTAGCACTTAAGCTCATGTTCTCTCTCTAAAATAAACAAGTAAATCTTTAAATAATCAAAATAAATAAATAAAATTTAAAAACCCAATTACAAAAATCTTCCCTTGACAACATTTTCTGCCTACAAATCCATAATTTCCCAAGAATAGGGGCTTATTCTGGCCTAGTTATTTGCCTCATTTAATTTCAGCATCACAAAAGTCAAACGTTTAATTATTTACAATTAATTTCTGCATCATAAAAGTCAAACTCTGGAAATGAAGGCATACTGGGATCTTCCAGTATTCAGAAGTGTTACATGCCTACCTTAGAGCGTGAACTTCCTCATAGCCTAAACACAGACAATTCCATCCATATGACTTCCAGCTGTGATCATGGCTAACCCCCAGGGATGGACAATGCCTCAAACCTGCCCAATCCTCTGACTCTTCCTTACCTTCTGAGGTTTTTCTATCTCGGACTTTTGAACTAAATGACATGTTTTCTAGCCAATGGGTGGCCACTATAGGAACTGAAAGATTTCCAGGTAGACTTAGCAGCCTTGTGAGATCCTGAGGTGGATCATAAAGGATAGCAATGAGTAGAGAGAATAGAGAAAAAAGTGGATCTATTTTCTTGATTATTTTCCTTTCTCATTAAGCCCAACTTTGCATCTTGCCTTTGAGCTCTGCGACATTTTCTATATCCTTTTTCACTAAGTCACGATTTTTACTGAGTTTAGTCAAATGTAAAACTTCAACTTGATGGTTCGTACCTTAGAGAAGGGAGGTAGTTTTTATCAAAGTGAGACAAGACAGAAAATGAAGGAAACTGAGGGCAGTTACCCACTCTTCAACACCAGGGAGAGGTAGCTGTCCAACATACTTGTCCACAGCAAACTCCGGAGCAGTTCAGGCCATTGTGAACAGATAATAGATGTAGTGTCAGCGATGCTGTCCATCATTTTCAACATCCATGAAGAGTTACATGAGGAGGTCCTTGGGAGGCAAATTGAAAACTGGGGGGTAAAACTGACAAAGTCATCAACAGGCTCAGGTTCTGCAACCCATTTTCAGGGTTAAGGGCTGAGTTCTATGAAAAATGGAAGGTATCTAGGAAAAGGCTTTGTAAGGTATTTCTTATTTTATATTAAATATTAGTAATTTCAGCACAACTGTGTTTTACTGCTGTTCACAAGTACACCATTTCATCCACTTCATCAGATGAGGAAAATGTGCGGAAGACTTATGCAATCTTAAAACTATCAGGCTTTTCTTTTTCTATAAACAAGAAGTGAGTTGATGTTTTCAGTATCATTTGCAAACAGTGACTGAGAAAATATCAGCTACAGTGCTATTCCAAGTCTCTTATATAAGAATTAATTAACACATTCCACTTAGGTCATCTACTAAGCTTTATATGAACACGTGGCTATTCCACTTTTTAAAAAAATACAATCTTATAACTGCCTGTTATTTACTTCTTACTTATAACATCGTAGATACAATACTGTGTTTCTTTTTTCAGGTTTTCTGTATTTATTGCTTTTTCCCCATTTAATATGTTTAATATTTAGGTCACATCATCTCATTTTAGAAATGAGTGGCATGCCTATCATAAGGAATGAATTATTAAGTGACATAAAGGAAAGAAAATATTACATTCATTTAACTAATATAAATACACGTGGTTTAAACTCTAGCACATGGGGCACCTGGGTGGCTCAGTGGGTTAATGACTCTGCCTTCGGCTCAGGTCATGATCCCAGGGCCCTGGGATGGAGCCCCGCATCGGGCGCCCTGCTCAGCGGGGAGCCTTGCTTCACCCTCCCACCCCGCCTCTCTGCCTAATTGTGATCTCTGTCTGTCAAATAAATAAATAAAATCTTTAAAACAAAAAAAAAAAGAAAAGAAAAAAAACTCTAGCATGTAAATGCTTTAAAAACAATTACATGGTTATAATGATACTTATTATATATATAAATAAAATGTTCCATTATAGGCTCTAAATATTTCCAAGTAGTTCTAATCTGAAATTTAAAATTTTATTATGTATGTTGCAATTTGGATAAGTTTTATAATTTGTGAATATGAAAAATAAAATATATTTCTAATTCTATCAAAAAGATTACGATACTTTAATATTTTGGAGTAAGGGCTAGCAGCATTATTTTAAAGTTTAGAGAAGTTTGTATTTTAAACAGAGGGCCAAAGAAAGGGTCAGAATATTGGATGCATAATATTGGATGCACACCTTTCATTTAAATGCTAACATAAATAAACACAAAATAACCAAGCATATTAAACAAGGTCTATGATCTGAATTCTTTTTGGAAAATGATTATAAAGTAAACATTGAAAGGTACATATTTTAAAGCACCTTTGCTTTATCTTCAAAGTATTATCCAATAGATTCTGGATAAAAAATTTTAAAGCTAATAAATGTGAAAATATCAACAAGAATAAGAAAAAATTAAATTTTTTCTCCATAAATTTATCAAATTACTTGCTTTTCTAAACTCACATTATATTTCTAAAACATTACTTTCATTTGCATGAGTCATTAGCTTTCATAAGGAATGCTTTTATATAAAATCTGTAAACCATAGCATTTCTTCATTATTAGCATGTACAGGCCCATTAAATCTATTATAAATGGGCAGTCTACTGATGAATATTTTAATTGTAGCTTGGGATTCTTGGTGTGGATCTAGAAAATGTTTATGAAAGATTTAAAAGTGTTGGTTTAGACATTTCAGAATAAGTCCTTGAGCAATTATAACTTTTTAACCATAAAAATATACATTGAAAATTAATAAGGCTATCGATAAAGCTGCTATGTTGTATACTGAGCAAAGGTGACAAAGAGATGAATATTCAAATTACATCTATTTTTATTACAACTATTATTGTAGGAATTTCAATTCTAATGATTAACTTTCAAAAAGTATTCATTTTTATCTAGACTGCTTTTTTCTTTCTAGGACTTCTATTTCTGTAAGAGCGTACAAATTCAAGCACATACTAATAGTCAAAGGTTTATTTTACATTTATGTATCTGTACTTTTGGTAACAAAATAAAAAATAGTGAAACATTATATTTTCTTAAATCTTTAAAACTATCTTTCAGTAAATATGAAATAAACGAAAATCTCTTTAATTCCAACATTGAATGCTATTATTTACAAGATTCTTATCAAAGTTAGCATAATTTTATTCTAATAATGTCTTGCTTTATCTGATACTTTAAACATGGCTTAGGAATGTTCAGTATTTCCACTTAAAAAAACAAGTTTTGTGAACTTCTGTGATTTAAAATAGACACAATCAAGTTAAAATATTTTCTAGGGCACCTGGGTGGCTCAGACGGTTAGGCATTTGCCTTAGGTTCAAGTCTTGATCTCCAGGTCCTGGGATCTGCAGGGAGTCAGCTTCTCCCCCGTCCCTCTTTCTTGTAAATAAATAAAAGTAAAAATCTTTTAAAAACATTAAAATATTTTCTGAAAAAGACAAACAGTGTGAGGTCAAATATGAAATAGGAGAGGAAAGATTTATAACTATAGATAACCTATAGTAATTTTTATCTCTGAGACAAATCTTTCAATTATATGTATATCCCTGTTGATATTACCCACTTCCCCAATAATTAATGCCATTAAATTTTGCTTTTATTTAGCTTTCACTTCTCCTTTGGTATTTGTAGAAGGATCTGATTTTGTGATAGTTTTTCTCTTGCTTCTACACCAAAATAGATCAAGGTACCAAAAGAATGGAAAAATGAAACAGACATCTTCATGTTCTTTTTACATATCAGCACAGTGACCAAGTAAGTCTTCTAAGACCAAAATTTCATTCTTTTTTCCACCTTGTCCAGAAATGTACAAGTCAGAGCAATAGAAAGACTGGAGGGGAAAAACAGGCAAAAGTAAATATGGTGTTTTTATCATGGAAAAATGATGGCTTCAGTATCTGGAATACAGTCCAAAGCAGTAAGATGCAGGTATGTCCTATGTTAGCTCACTATCGTCTCCTCATGACTGTTAGTTCCGTGTAAGGGTAGAGCTATGTTTTCTGGAACCCCTTTCCTGTGTGGTTCTGGGTTAGAGTTTGCTGGTGACAAAAACTTTCCAGGGAGACATAAGATGGAAATGGGAAGTCATTATTTTTTCAAAGGTGTTTGCAGCTAGATATTTGGATAGATAAAAGATTCACAGTGGCCTTCCAACAGATATATAGATATAGATATAGATATAGATATTTTTTTTATAATGACCCGCTTCTCTTGAGAAGTTGGTGGAGTTTTTTAAAGATTCTCAAGTACTGCAGCAGCTCCAAGAAAGATGAAAAGCATCTGCTTGGTGCTTTAGGCTAGCATCTTCAATATCTACCTCTCTGACTTTCAGCAGCTGCTTTCGGGACCTCTATCTCCCTCTCTCCCCACATTCACCCCCAGGTCTTCCAAGAGTCCTGAGAGTTCGTAATTCTGCATTAAACACTTTATATCTGAATACATCAAATAGCTTCAGTTATGCTGACTGATCCCTGATGATAAAGACACCAGCACAGTAAGAACTGGGAAATACTCAGTTTATTAGATAATGTGAATGTCTTAAATATCAGATACATCATTTTAATAAGTAAATATCAAATCACATTTCAAAGTCCATTCAGATTACCTGGATTTCTTCTTCGCTTTTCTCTAACAATGATAGGTAAGATCATTCTATATGTTATTAGTTTCTTCAGTCTTTAAAATAATTTTTAAAATTATGTTCAAATAAACTTCAAATAATTATCTTCAGCTTTTTCTGAATAAAAATTTCATTCTTATGACAGGCTTGTGATTCACATACTTGATATTAATGGCGTTTTGTCTGTAATAAGAAGAGGGAAATCAAGTTTCAATGAATATTAGAAAACTGTTTAACCCTTGCTCATTGTTTGTCACCTACTTCTCTCTGGCGTGATACAGAAAGCTCTTGGTTCTGTGTTTGCCACTGGAGACTAAGTACTGCTTTCATGAAATGGAGATCTAATCCAGATCATATTTAAATATCAAAAAGGCTGTGACTAAATGGAGCTTAGAGACTACATGACTCCATCTTGACCAAAGGTTACACTCAAGAAACAGCCTTGCTCAATAAAACCCGGTACATTTTTTTTCCTGATACTTTTCAGGAAAAGACTGTTTTCAATTCATGGCAGCGTTTCTTTCCAGTCTCTTTCTTCATTCTTTTCCTTCTCCATGTCTATTCCTCTCTTCTGTGTAATAACTGATAACCAACTAACCAACTTACATAGTGTCTTTTACTTACCAGCCACCTGCGGTGACCTATTTAGTCCTTTAACAACTCTGTGATTAGGTGTTACTAGCACCACAGTACAGATGAAGAAACTGAGGCTCAGAGGAGTTCAATACCTTGCTGAAGGTCATAGAGTGAACAAGTTGGCAGGGCCAATGCTAACTGTACCTACAGCAGCTGGGCAGCAAGTTCAGAAGCCTCAGAAAGTCTTTCATAAACCTCCCCCTCTTCAGCACCTCCTTCACCCAATTTCCCTTTTCTTTGTGTCCTTTGTTTCTAGCTAGTAATTCTCATTCTGTTGTTGTTTTCATTGAAATGCTGGCAACTCAATCACTATCTTCCATTTCTTCCTTTCCCCCCCCCCCCCCCCCCCCCCGCCCCAGTACCTCAGGATGCTGGAAGAAGGGCCAAGAAGCAGGAAAGGAGTAGGTAGGAGTCAGGGAAGGTTCTGTGAATGCTCATAAATGGTACTTGTTTGTTTGTTTGTTTCCTATTAAAAAGAAAGTTATTTTTATCCTCTGTTTTGGAGCCAAAGAAATATAAAAAAACAAAGCGCAGATACCAATGAGCAACAGAGTAAAACTCAAGTGAGAATTAAAGTCAAGAATTTAGAAGAGCTGATTATATAGGAAAGCAGGACATGGGGTCCTTGAGCTAATCTCTTTTTTGTTTTCCTTTTCCTTCCCTAATGTGGTTCCAGATGCAGTCTCAGAAGTACCATTAGTGGGGATGATGATGATCTGAGGAAGGATTCAGGTAGTAAAGAAATAGATAAAAACAGGTTATAACTAAATCACCTAGTTTGGTATGTCGGAGTGAAATTGAAAGCTTTTGAGGTCATAGGGTTTTCTATGCCATAAAAATCTCCAAATTAAATAAAATAATACATGTGTACCCTGCCTTTAGGCCAGGAAATTCACATTTTTACATTTATTGTTCTTAACAACACCTGATCCAAGAGGTACTCCATAACTTATATTTTCTGGTTTTCAAACCACAGTACTGTCATGAGCTTGTTTGCTTTGTTTTCACAATGGAGGCCATATGCATCCAGGCTGAACTCCTGTGCAAAGAGAAACACATGTGCACATGCACTTTGCCTCTGAGCCAGACTGATCTAGGATCACACTTCAAAAAGAAAATTCCTTGTCATTTTTCAAATTATGGCACTCCAGTGTACTTTGATATTCACAACACTTGGGCTTTCTGAAGTGTGTAAAATTGCTTTTTATATTAAAACTAATATAGATTAAGAAATTTTTGAGATCTCTGTAGATATTCAGAAACTTAAGATTGGAGACAAAGTAAAGTTCAGTTTGATCTTATGAGCACAGATTTCATCATGGAAACTTTTAAAATAGATGTTTCTACAGCACTGGCCTTCTAAGAGTGAGGCAATATCAGGAACTCTAAGAAAGTGTCTACTTTTCCTTTGTTTTCTTGATTTTTTTAAAAATAAAAATAAATCCTAATTCTAATGATATGAAGAGTTTTTTATTGCTTTCCCTGAAATGGATTTTATTTTATTTTTTAAAGATTTTATTTATTTACTTGAGAGAGAGAGTGCACATACACAAGCAGGGCGAGCGGCAGGCAGAGGGAGAAGCAGGCTCCCTGCTGAGCAAGGAGGCAGAGGTTTAACCAAATGAGCCACCCAGGCACCCCTGAAATGGACTGGGGAGCAAGTAAAGAGAAAGAAATACTGTCTGGGAAAAGAATGAGGATAGACAAGGTTTTAGTGGCACACAACCCATCCTCAAATCAATGAAGCAGTGGATATAAAAGTGGTAGATTAAAAAAAAAAAAATGGAGGGGGGGGTGAAGGTAGTCTTTTTATCTAGTATTTGACCAAAATATAAATTAGTGGTATCTTAAGTCCATATTGGGGAATATTTGCTCTCTTTCAGCTCCAATGCCATGAAATAGAATATTACACTTGACAGTTATACCTATACATTAAAACTCCTTAAGTGCACATCAAACTTTTGAATAAGAAGATAACTCTATCATGACACAAAAAATGGTATTATTTTTAGTTTCAGGGCAAATAGTAAATCCTTGCATTTTTTAAAATTTGGAAATAAAATAAACATTAAGAGATAGGTATCAATTGCTAAGCAGAATATCTGAGTAGATAGATGTCAATATTTATTTTCTGTTTAAAATTTAAAATACCTGTACTTTCTTTTCACATTTGACTCCAGAATATCCATCACGACAAGAGCACACATTGGGAAATACACATCTGCCTCCATGAAGACACTTTTGATTGCAAATTGCTGCAATACACAAATTTTGACCATTAACATCCTTTGACACCAATGCTTGGGACATAGTCTATGCTGGTGCTCAGAAGCCATTCAACAACTCAACTATAAAATAGTTGTAAGACTTTAAGAATGGCCAACTACACTCCCATCCTTGTGTGGTCAGAGCACACACATATAGTCATCATACACATAAAAAACAAAACACCCAGAACTTAACACAGCAGTTTCACTATTCTTTAAAGATATTATTAAAGGAAAGAGAATTTTCATTGGCTACATTTTAAACACTGGGTGTACATTCTTGCTTTCTTTAGAGAGGAGATTCAAATTAGTAACATAAAATAGCATTCATAATTTGTTTTTTATTAATTTAGCAAGCATTTAAAAGAAACAATTCAGTACCAGCCAGTGTATGGAAAAATTGACAATTTAATATACTATCATTGGAAGTTTAATGTGAAATAACTGTTTTAGAAACTTCCTAAACATTTTTACACTAGCAATTTCTTCCTTAAAAATTTCTCCTCAGGAAACTTAAAAATACCTATATCTATCTCAACATACCTCAATATCGATCTATTTTTCTATCAACCACCTACTCTATCCACCTATATTATCATCTATTATCTGTATCTATTATCACCTATCCACTTACAAACAGAAAATGCTTGTCAGAGTAATAACACAAACAACAGAAGGGCAAAAGTCAAGTGAATTGTATAAATTGTGTTATATATTTAAAATTATATTATATATATTATGGAACTTAATATTTCATTCAAAATTACGTTTTGAAGGACATGGAAAATACTTTTAAGTAATACTGAGTGAAAATAAGTATAATATAAAATTACATACAATACAGTTATTTTTCATGGGAGAGATACCTTCTTCCATAGCTCATTAGGAAAGTTTGTGTAACCCAAGAATAATATTTGCTTTGGTATAAGTGCAACATTAAAAGGTTATGTTTTTAACCATGCCGTTGGGTATGGTTGGGCAGGTTGTGTAATACACAAGGTACCACAGCTAAGGAAGAACTTCTCATATCACAGACATCATAGATTTGAATATTTGTTACAATAACTTTCCAGCAGATGGCAATAAGACATCTTGTTCAAATAATGTCAATATTCAGAATTTCTGGACAGTTGGAAATAAAAGTTTGAGAATGGGGACTTTGAAAAATTCATATAGAAGTGCTACAAGGTGCAAAATTAGAGTGCAGATCATGAGGCTGCAGAGTACCTTAACCCACACTCACTGGGGTACCTTCCGACACTAATGTGCTTTTAACATCTCATCGTTCTCACCTATGGACCACATAGCCCTCTTTCCAGAATAAGCAGCTCAAACTGAGGGTGATAGCTTTTTTTCTTTTTTAGCGATTTATCACATCTAATTTCCAAAGAGAATTATTGATTTTTGAGCAGATAATTCTTAAGTAGATACTAGCACTTGGTGAATTCTTTGATAATATCTTCTTAAGATGAAAAATGTGTAAGTTATAATAGGTATTACTAATAAAGTCAAAGAGGCATGGGAGTTATATGCAGAATCTATGATACATGGAAACAAGTGTAGTTCATAAAACATAAAAAAAAACAGGGCAGGTATTTCCAGTAAAATCACATGGTTCAGTTTAGTAACTATGTATTTTCAGTTTATAATGCACTTGGATCACCAGTTTTGAAATGATGTAATTATTGATCATTTGAAAATATTTGGGGGGAGGGGCACCTGGATGGCTCAGTAGGTTAAGCCTCTGCCTTCGGCTCAGGTCATGGTCTCAGAGTCCTGGGATCGAGCCCCGCATCGGGCTCTCTGCTCAGCAGAGAGCCTGCTCCCCCACCGACGCGTGCCTCTCTGACTACTTATGATTTCTGTCAAATAAATAAATAAAATCTTTAAAAAAAAAAAAAAAGAAAAATATTTGGGGGGTATTTCCAGTTTTCCCCCATTCAGTTAATCTTTGTTAATATTTTAACATGTTATTTCAAGTTTTCATACATTTTAAAATTATATAATATTTGATTTTCCTCAATACCCTGAGACCTCATCTATGTAATACACATGACTAAAACTAAGTGAAATGTATTAACATATTAAAGTCATAATAGGAATTAGTTCTGGGTGGTAGAATCTAGGGCAATTTAGTTTTTAAAACTTTTTAATATAGTTTATGATTTTCATGATTGATGTGTATTTTTCTCATAATATGAAAAAAATATTTAAAGTGTATATTAAAAACCATCTCCAGCACACCTGAAAGAACTTCAAAGGCAATGCACAGACCACAATTAGGAGTTACCTGTGTCACATAAAATCTTAATATATTTTACCATATTTTCTTCTTTTAAATAGGTATTTCAATGAAGAAGATTTTCTTTATTTCTAAAACCATTTTTTGAATGGATCAGCATGCTGGGATTTGTTTTTTTCTGATTTCTCCTCACACTACTTTGCTCAATAACTGTAACAGATTCAGGTTCAGAAGATAGAGTAACAAACAAATTCTGTAGGCTTACGTATTTGACACTGCACTCCTTCCCATGTGGTAGGACAATGGCATATACTGGGAGCAATACACTCACCACCATTTTTACATTTCTGAAAGCAGATAGCTGCAAAGAGAAATATAAACAAATTAAAAATTTATTTTGCTAGTCAAATACTCATGAATAAACCACAAAAAATTTCACCAAAGAAAAAAGAGAACCAGTTAAAAGTTAATGATTTAAAGGAGATTTTTTTCCCTTAACATTTTATCAAGAACATTTTTCAATGTCACACTGATTCTTGAATAAGGCAACTTTAAAGGTTATATAACATTGCACTGATCGAATGTGTGGTGATTTAACTTTTCCTCAATTTGGGGGCATTTATGTTGCTTCTTTTTTCACTTTGACCAATAGATTATAATAGCTGGTAATTTTAAATGGTAATTTATAAAAAGAAAAAAATGAAATATTTGAATGAGGAGAGCTGTTATCACCTCAAAACCTAGCCAGATTAAAAGGAGTGGCACCCTACCTTGGAAGGTTCTGAATTGGCTGGTCTGAAATGGGGTCAAGGAATCAGTAACTTTTTACACCTTCTCCTGCCCCCTACTTAAGACAAGATGGGACTTAAAGCCTTGTCATTTATCCTGGCAATTATAGCGGACAGACTGGTAATACGGAACATCCTCTTTCTCTGCTAACCTGAAAGAATGAATTCAGAGCTCTTTTTATTCTACTCTATTTCAAAAAGAGATCCCCTAATGTAGGAACAAACAATAAAAAAACAAAGACAAAACACAACAAAAACAAGGAAAATGCTCTTTGTAGTAAATTCTGCTTTATGTTCTCATGAGGCTTTAACATTTTAAGAGTGTTCCTCTTACCTATGTTGCATTGTTTCCCTCTCCAACCAGAAGGACAAGAGCAAATATTTGGTCCCATGCATTTTCCTCCATTCATGCACATTGGATCACAGATACCTTCAGGGAAAAGAATGAAACAGCCCTCAAGTAGCAATCCTTTACTATTTCATGTGTTGGCTTTTCCTCTGGCTGGCAATACCTTCAGTGGTGCCTTACTTTTTTGGCATCTCCTACCAGTGTATCCCTCACGACAGGCACACACGTTATTTCTCATGCAGCGTCCGCCATTCTTACAGGGAGGGTGACAGAGAGCTGAAAGAACACATGGCCACAATCTGTGAATATTACATCTCTGATTATTACATATTACATATTGCCTCGTGTGCTTGTTATCTATGGGGCCATAAGGCAGAAAAATGTGCTATTAAAATAAAAGATCACAACTGCAAGTCATTAAAATCATCCTTTCTAAATCATAAAATCCAATGCTCATAGCTCTAAGCAGCCTGTGGATTAGCACAATTTGAAATGTATCGATGAACTGTTCATAACAAACAGCATCTTGCTACTATAGTGCTTAAATTACGAACCTGGTCTTATATTTTACCATTCTTGGAAGTAAAAAGTGAAATGATTGGGGAAGAACCAAGAAAATAAGTCAAAACCTGGCTCAAAATAAGAGATGTATCTACGCCTGTAGAAATTAGAAAAATCTCAACAATCTAACACATGATTTTTGGAAAATAATTTTAAGTTGACTTTTGAACACCTGCTGAGGTCATAAAGGCAGAGCTTTATATGTCCCTTATTTCTGTGAAAGCTTAGTGAAAAGTCCTTTTAACAGTAATTCCTTGGCTTTGTTAGGACTGTTTATTGGATAACCTTGACTACACTGTACTAGTATTTTCTGTGTATATGATTCTGCTCCATGAAATTCAAAAGTTAGTATTTATTATCTTTTATGAGAGGATTTTTATTGCTTCATGTTTCTTCCAGAAATGACAATAAATGCCTTTATTAAAAAAAATGATAAGCAAACCTGCCTGGAAATTTTAAAACTTATTTTTTCCCTAAATGATAATAAAGATCATGTTTTTATTTCTTCTGCATCTTCTGCAGCATGTCCTAAAGACCACTGTACTGGGGCACCTGCGGGGCTCAGTCGGTCAAGTGCCCGACTCTAGATTTGAGTCAAGAACTCTGGTCATGAATCTCAGGCTCGTGAGATTGAGCCTTGCACTGGGCTCTGCCCTGGATGGACCTGCTTAAGATTCTCTCTCCCTCTACCTCTGTCCTTCCCCTCCTCCCCTAAAAAAATAACTCCCCAAACAATTGTACTATTATTTCTGGTAGCTAGCACATACATACATTACAGTATGTATGTCTCACTGACTCCTTACGTCAACTGTCTAGTTCAAATCTGAAATTCAGGAAGTCTGATCCTGGAGACTTTAAGTCAATCCCCAAATCAATGCTAGCTAGAAGTTTTAGAGGCTACTTAACTCCAAAACCTGCTAACATGACATATGTTCAACAAATACATTTTACTGCAATACTTAATAATTTAGAGATTTCCTCCTTTCCCAGTTACTCAGTTGGCATATAAATTATAGAGACGTTTTCTCACTATATCTTACATCTACAGCAAGGAGCATGGGGGTTATCAGCTTTTTGTTTCCTTCTTACGTTCTCAGTCAACACCTACAGCTACACCTACAGCTCACAAATACGGGTTTAGATGTAGCTGCTTGGTTTTCAAGGTTTGCCTTAACTTAGTCTTTACTTCTTCCCATTTCACAAGCCATTTCCTTAAAGAAAATCTTAATTAGAAAAACTCATTTGCTATGACTGTGTAACTAGTACTTCAGCGATGGCTTCTTTTCTACCTTGACTGCAACCTAAGAATCCTAGCCAACCTCCAAATAAAAGAGATGAAATCACATCAAAGTATAACATGGCAAGGAATGTATAGGTTTTAGGAATTAAATTATGACAGGTTTTGACATGTTTCTACTAAAAATCTACTCTGCATTTCGCATAAACTCAAAGATATGAAGATGTAGAAAATACATTTTAAATTTCATTTATTGACATTAATTCATGCCTACACTGTCAGCCTCAGGACAAGCTCATAGCAATGCTACAGATTTTTTTCTAGAATAACAACAGGAAAAGTGTTAAAATAGCAAGACATGAAGGGGGGAAATGATGTGTCTTTTTGTCTCCCTATCACCTTGCACAGTTTTGTGCATAGCTTTTCATAAATGTTTGACAAAACTAAAGTTGAGAGATCATGAGATAATAGTGGACATTGGACTGGCTACAAATCAAGCATTTTTGCTGTGAGGGCAATAAAAATGGCACCAGGCACACAGCAGACTGCAAGGGAACTTTGCTTGTTTGGTTCACACCTTGATCCTACAAAACTGCCCAGCCAAGTGCTGAGGCCGGGAGACTAATACATGGGGAAGAAATACAAATATTTTACATAAGAACTCATACATTTCCATGATCTGATCATTCGGTGACCACAACAGCAACATCACAAGAAGTAGAGAAAAAAAAATGGCATCTTCCCCTTTGAGACTTGTCTTAGGTTTACTCTGAGTTCTGTTTATGCCTTTCCCTTTTTATTTAGAAAGAAAGAAAGAATAATTACCATTCTGACACTGTGCACCAAAGAATCCATTTGGACAAAGGCAAGTGTTTGGCTTATTACAGGAACCACCATTGAGGCAAACGGGGTCACACAAAGCTAATGAACAGCAGGGGGAAGAGAGACCATAAAAGTTTTATTATTTAAAAAATGAAAGCTGCACTGAAGTACAAAATGGTGCATAATGAAATATTTTATTTTTACTGCAAGTAAAACCCATAACCTATAATTAATTTGACTTTGCCAAACATAAGAGGAATGAAATAACTGGATAATAGCTTTGAGAGTCTGTTCATTAAGTTTACAAATAATACCACGCTAAGAATATGGAGGTTATGATTAGAATTCAGAATGCCCTCTGTAAGCTGAAAAAATGATGGGAAATTAGAAGACACGTCAACAGCACTAACTGGATGGTCTTTAATCTGCTCAAATACATGGGGCCACATGTGTACCTTTTTAAGTCTCCTTCCTAATTCAAACAGGAACACTGTGTTTAAGTCCTGGCATGCTCAAAAGCATTCTGTTATTGCTTCTTTACTTTTGTTACACTTTGAGAGTCACCCCCAAATCCATTTTTCAACCCAGACTTTATCCATCCTCCAAAGCATACCTCAATACTATTTTCTTCCAAAGTGTAATTGCCAGAATGAATTTTTGTCTTTTCTGCTCCAAAGGAGAAATGCACTAATTATATTACTTATTATAATCCAACTTGTATCATAGTCTTTTTGAATAAGTGTATCCTGTGTCTCCTTCACTAATGATGTGCTACTGGAAGTCAGGGCAAAAATCAAATTGATCTTTGTGTCCCCTTGCATCATGCTTCACACATAGTTGGCAAGCCATAAGCATTAAATTAAATTAATGTTGAGAAAAGTCATTAGATCACAATGGCTTCGATTATTCATAGATAACTACGAACATGCTGGCAAAGAAGTAAGCCTGATATCGTGATAAAGACACAAATACCGTGATGGTGTCCTTTAACTGTTTGAATGTTTTTTGAAACAGAATGTCTGTGCTGTGATAGAAAACTTGAAAGAGATCAAGGAAATGTAACACAGATTTCTCTCCACTATGAGGCAAGTGGATGATGGAAATACAAAGGCTAAAAAAAAAAAAAAAAGTACTGATTGGTCTGGGCAACAGTAAAGCTGAAATTGTATGGTCTGATACAAGAAGAAGATGATCAAGACAAAAGGCAGGTTTCTAATAAAACTTCATACCAGTCTTGTTGCATTAGCTTTATGCTTTGGGGTGTTGGTCTTTAGGATACCGGTGCACTTTACATTTGTTTTAGCTGTTTTATTCACTGAACATATTTCTGATTTTACCTGTACCACAAGTAGGTCCATACCAGCCAGGCTTGCACTGGCAGGTATCTGGTGTAAGACATTCACCTCCATTTTCACAGTGCCTGTTACAAACCACTAAGGTCGTAGAATAAAAATAAAAGCAAGGTAGATTAGGCTTGGAACTGGCCATATTATTGGCTATTACCTAGTTAGCTTGTAATTGCCAATCACATCCTCTAATGAATAGGATCAGAGAGAAAAAGAAAAATAACTTATTCTTTGGCTTTAAATGGTCTCTGATTCTCACATTCAGCTATTTTTTGCTAATAGAGTTGGGGAAGGAAGAAAATCATTGAGCTGAATGATAAACAAGAGTTCGCTGATTGAGAAAATTATTAGTAATGAAAATAATCATAGATATAAATTAAACAAGATAAACTTATATGCAAACCAAAGAACTGGAATTCTTATCATTATCTCAAGGAATGGTCATGGACAGGGTCAAGAAGAGAGCTGCTTCCAAGAATAAACTTCTTTATCTTAGTACTGGCACCTGGGGCTCCCAGGGGTATGCAGAATGAAAACTGATCATGAGTAGTATGTCCTTTAAGTAGGTATTGGGTTTATTTTAGTTAGTACTAAAGCCACCAACTACTCAAAGGAGCAGTTTCCTTACATTAGGCTGTAAGAGAGTTTTGCTTACTTGTTTCACACCTTGGTCCTATAAAACCATAAGGACAAGTGCAGAGATTTCCAGCCAAGCAGGTGCCGCCATGTTGACAAGGTGGACTACAGTGTTCTGCAGACACAGATTATATTCTTAAGTCAGCTCTGAATTAGGAAAAGGTCAGTTGATATTTATGAATCACAGCCACAATACACTTTCTTCTAACAGCGGTTTATAGTAAACTCAATTCTCATTTACTACGAAATTTAGCTCTGTGGGATTGACTATACAAGTTTATACTCTAACAACACCAACAAATCATCAGCATGTTTTGGTTTATAAATCTCTTGGTTAGCATGTAAATATGTCATCTTGGGTTTCTTCTTAAGAGAGAGACCTGGACGTACACATTCCTGCCCTAAAAATGGAATATTCCTCTTGGGGAGCCTGGGTGGCTCAGTGGGTTAAGCCTCTGCCTTTGGCTCAGGTCATGTTCTCAGGGTCCTGGGATCGAGTCCTGCACTGGGCTCTCTGCTCAGCAGGGAGCCTGCTTTCCCCTCTCTCTCTGCCTGCCTCTCTGCCTACTTGTGATCTCTCTCTCTCCCTGTCAAATAAATAAATAAAATTTTTTAAAAAAGGAATACTCCTATATTTCCACAATTATTTTCATCATCATTGATATTGTTTCTATTAGTTCACTCTGGATTTACTTTAATTTGTTAATTTGTACTTTGCCTTGTCATGGAAGTATTTAGTGTGGCTCTTAGCTTGTTCATAGTTATTTGTACCATTTATCAAAGATATTCCTTAAAATATTATATTAAGGGGAGCCCGGGTGGCTCAGTCATTAAGTGTCTGCCTTTGGCTCAGGTCATGATCCCAGGGACATGGGAGAGAGTCCCGCATCAGGCTCCCTGCCTGGCAGGAAGCCTGCTTCTCCCTCTCCCATGCCCCCTGCTTGTGTTCCCTCTCTCGTTGTGTCTGTCTTTGTCAAATAAATAAAATATTTAAAAAATAAATAAATAATAAATAGAATATTATATTAAGGATAACAAATGTGTCCTTTTAAAATATTATCCATTTGAAAATGCCATTTCATAAACTCTCCTCTTAAGATTCCAAAAAAAATTATATGGCTATAGACATGTTTTTATTTTTTATATATTTTAAAAATATTTTATTTATTTATTTGTCAGAGAAAGAGAGACAGAGAGAGAGCACAAGCAGGGGGAGAGGCAGGCAGAGGGAGAAGCAGGTTCCCCATTGAGCAAGGCGTCCCATGTGGGACTCAATTCCAGGACCCTGAGATCATGACCTGAGCCAAAGGCAGACGCTTAACTGACTAAGCCACTCAGCTGTCCCTATATACACGTTTTTAAAAATCACTTTTTAGGATTCTTGTTACCACCTAATATCTTCTAATTATTTGGTATTTAGCACTTTCTTGGAGCCATGACTGACAAGTCGTTCAATAATCAGGAGTCCTCTGCTTGAAACTAAAATACATATTGGGATATGGCACCTTATAACTAAATCTCAAAAATATTACTTCTGAGGACAATTTTACCAAGGAAAAATAAGCTGTTACTCTTTGGCTATCTAATTTTAGAAACGTAAGTGTTTAGAAGCTTCAAATAAATTATTTTTAATAAACATTAAAAAGCTTATATTTCCCTGCCAGCATTAAGATTTATCAGTATAGACACAGCAAAACTGAATTATCTTTCTAAAAAGCTTTAAAGAAAATAGTGTTATTTTGCTTCTTATTTGATTTTTAATTTGAACGATCACCTTCATCACATGTTGCTCCACCATGCCCTGGGGGACATTCACAAACGTTAGGCTTAATACATTTTCCATGGTTTCTGCAATCAGGATGACATATAGCTGTATAAAATAAAGCTCATGTTTTAGAAATGCCCATTATCAATTAAATTCATTATACAAACTAGTGAGTGCTGTACCTACCAGTTTGGCAGTTAGAACCAGTGTAGCCAGGTTTACACCTGCATATGTTTGGGGCAACACACACCCTGCTTTTTCCACATGGGTGTCTACAAATGGCTGCAAAAATCAAGGAAAAAAGGTTGAACTGCTGATATAATATACACATGTTGCCCATAGACTTACTTATAAGAAAAGTCAAATTCTCTGAAATTTGAAAATTCCGAGGCTGCTTATTGAACAATAACCACTGCATTTATCTATAAAATTATTTTTTCCCTTTGAATTTGTTTTACTACTAGAATGACTGAGAAACATGACTAATACAGTCAGAAAGAAGTACCATATGAGATAATTTCTCCCACAGCAAAGCCTGTTGTTGAAGGTGGCTGCTGGCCATAAACAGGATTACACTTTTTCAGGGGTCAATAAAGTTTCAGAAACTAATCAGACAAATGTTGGTAAATGGTGGGAATAATCAGAATTTCAAAGAACAAGATGCTAGAAACATGTCATAAGTTTATAAGTTTATATTCCTTAAGCTTAACTACCTGATATATTTTATTAGGCATCTAACATTTTTCTGAGGTAAACAAAATGTATGATTGTTTTGTCTTACTAACAACATGACATTTTATATTATAAACACGTAAATATTGAAAGTTGTTATTATCACTATTCCTACAAAAAAAAAAAAACAACCAAAAACAAACAGAAAAAGTACTTCAGTAATACTGAGAACAAAGAAATACATACCCCAACAGCTCTATTGCTTAATTAAGTTGGTCTCAAATAAATCAAAACACAAAATAACAAAATACCAACAACACAAAATAGCTTCTGCAGTATCAAAGCCAAAAATTTGATTTGCCTCAAAGAAAACAATACTGATAATTGTGAAAAGAAGCAAACACTCCTTTCAAAACTAAAGTGATGCCCAACTTGTTTTATTCTCAAGAGCTGGAGGATTATAGAGAAACCCAGTTTATGCAAATAAGCAAATACACCCAAATTAGTAATTTAAAGTGCTAAATGCCCACTGTGAGCTGAAAAGAATCCAGACCACAATGTTATTCATATCCTTATTTTCTCTCTTTATCTGCTTAATGCTAGGCAAGTCAGTTAGCCCTGTAAGGCTCTGCCTTTCCTATCTGGATAATGGAAAAATAATAGTCAATGTGCGGATTATATGACATAATTGATAAAGAATGTGTCTATAAACCTTGGAACACAGCATGTACCCAAAACATATTTATAATATATTATATAGTTATAGTACCATTTGATTTAATTTTTAAAAATAACTGAGGAACAGCCATGTTAACTTTTTTGAAATATGAAGAGGATATATATAAATAATAAATACAATGAATAGAAATTGGTGAACTAAATGGAGTAAGCAGAACTTAATAGAGAGGCCTCTCTTTTTAATCACTTAAATGTGAACTAAATAGTTTCTTTGCATCTTCTCAAGAATTTTCATACTACCTCTGCAATTGATACCATCTCCATAATATCCAAGGGGGCAGCGTCCACACTGGAAGTGACCATCTGTGGTTGGCACACAAGAAACACCAAGAAAACAAGGTGAATCAGCACAAGTTGATATTCTGGTCCATCCAGGCTTTTCTGGCAAAATAGTGATGGCTCTAGTAACCGATGAGGCAAACCCATCCTTATCCTGTGTGTAACCTTTGGCAGGCCTGTTAATTTGAGAATTATTCCCTCCAGCCTCTGTCTGGATAGTGCTCTGTTTAACATCCTTTACTTCACCAGGGGAACCATTTGGGTTGATGCTTAAAGAAATATGGTTTTTCGTCGACACTCCCAATTCCTCCAGACTGAGATTTGTAGTGATAGTATGATCTGCCTGTTCAAACCCTGGTATCTGACGGGAAATAATGTTTTTTGAATTATTCATTTGAGTTGTAACTGATTTTAATGAGAAGTGTGAGATGTCACTGGTTGTGTTCAAGAACTTTTTGATAGAGGCAGGCCTGTGGGTAAAGCTTGCACCGGATGATGAATGATCTGTTGATGGTGACTGAAATTTTATATCTGAAGAACCAAAAAAGAAAAAGAAATGTCAGTCAATAACATTTATTAATATTCTGTTCTTTCCTCAGTATTTGACATTAAGTAATTCATTCCTTCATTTAATGCCTATCACATGTATGCCATTACACTAAGAGCCATGCAGTAGTAAGAAGTCATCATACACTTCCTGCCTTCAAAGAATTTACAATCTCTTTGGATATATCAGGTACCTAGACTGTTAAACATTGTAAGTAAAAGTTAAAGAACAATAATTAATAATTTTTTTAAAGATTTTATTTATTTATTTGACAGAGAGAGATCACAAGTAGGCAGAGAGGCAGGCAAAGAGAGAGGAAGGGAAGCAGGCTCCCTGCTGAGCAGAGAGCCCGGTGCGGGGCTCGATCCCAGGACCCTGAGATCATGACCTGAGCTGAAGGCAGCGGCTTAACCCACTGAGCCACCCAGGTGCCCCAATAATTAATAATTTTATTAAGAGTTAGAAATAGCCAACAAACATTTATTGACCACTTCATACACTGAGGCTCAAAGCAAAGGAAATTGCTCACGTTTGTATTCTTGACATGTGAGCAATTCATAATAATAATCTGAAGCAAATTTTAAATCATACAAACATACTATGTATAATTTTAAATGAAGACTAAAATTTTTTTTCAAAATATATATAATTAAATTGACTGAAGAAGAGCCAGAGGAGTTGATAGAACAATTGCAATAAGAGAAACAAAAATAATCTAAATCTAAATAATCTAAAGTCATTAAATATGATGCTAAGACAGATGACCTAATAGAAAAAAAATTACCAAATTATCAAGGAAAGAATATTGTATAAAACTCTTGCAATGCACAGAAAGAGAAGAAAATTTTTTATTTTTTTTTAAGATTTTATTTATTTATTTGGCAGAGAGAGAGATCACAAATAGGCAGAGAGGCAGGCAGAGAGAGAGGGGGAAGCAGGCTCCCCGCTGAGCAGAGAGCCTGATGTGGGGCTTGATCCCAGGACCCTGAGATCACGACCTGAGCCGGAGGTAGAGGCTTAACCCACTGAGCCACCCAGGCGCCCCGAGATGAAAAGTTTTATAAACATTTGATCAAGTGACATAATCCTAAAGTCAGTATCATTTATGAAAATACATATACATTTTCAATGAAATACTACCAGATGAAATGAAGCAGTGTAGTTACAGACTACAACATCAGGATGAAATGGACTTGTATCTCTACTTACCAAATTACATTACATAATTTCATTATGATTATAATATAAAGAAAATATAAAATGTTAAAAATTTGATACGATTTTCTCCTGAAAACATTCTAAAAAAGTTAGTCTAACAAAACATTAATAGAAATTACAGCAAGTCATAAATAATGCTGAAAAACCATTTGATAAAATTTAAAAACCACTTCTTTTTTTTTTAAAAGATTTTATTTATTTATTTAACAGAGAGAGCGTAATCACAGGTAGGCAGAGAGAGAGAGGGAAGCAGGCTCCCTGCTGAGCAGAGAGCCCAATCCCACTAAGCCACCCAAGCGCCCCTAAAAACCACTTCTAACTTAAATCTAAAGAGAATTCTGAGAAAACAACAAATAAAAGGAAAATCCCTTAACTGGATGAAGGGTTTCTAGCAGAAACCTACCGTAATATCATACTTAATGGTGAAACATGAGAAGAATTTCCATTAAAATAATTAAAAACAATTCCCTGCCTACACATTGGAGGTGCAGCCATTACAATGAGGGCTCAAATTTGAGAGCTGGGACTGCAGTCAGACTGCTCACGTTCAAATCTCTCTTCATTTACAAATTGTATATATCTGAACAGAATACTTAACCCATCTATGCCTCTGTACAGATGACTAACATGGAAATAATAACTGTTACTGTCTATAGCTATTGAGAAGATGGAATGACACAGTATATAAATATTTGTCCTGGCATATCATAAATATAGATTAAATCATAATTACTATTATAATAAGAAAGTAAGTAAGAATAAGAGACAAACTCACTATTGGCAAGAGGTATTGTCTATAAAACCAAGAAAAAGAATCAAGTATAAAAAAAGTGTAGAGTGTTTAATAAGGCAACTGGATGCATGAATAAATTAAAATCAAGAGTTTTCCTATATTGCAGTAATTGATAAAGATATCTTGCAAAATAAGTGCAGTGATAATCTTGCAAGATGAATAGCTAATATTATAAAATGCAAAACCATAAAGAAAGCTTATGTAAAATGTGTAAGGTCATTGTGAAGACAATCAGAATATTAATTGAATAAATCAAGAGTTATAAGGACAGCACTGTGGAAAAGAAAAGGCCTAATGAAATAATGAGTTTCTTCTAGTCTTTAGGGTTTAAGTCGATGTTGAATGACCAGGGAGTTATAAAATGTAAGTTTGAAATGGTCACTTATAATCATAAGCCTCGCAGAAATCACCTTAGATATCATTTGTTCATTATACAACATGCATCATTTTTCTAGACTATAAGCCAAGGAGTGAACGGGTTAGAAAGAAAAAGAATAATTTGTAAACTGCATTGTATAATCTTAGGCAATCTTTCTAAAGGGAAAAATTCCTAAGGAAGAAATATGTTGGTCTTCTGGAAAATAAATGAGAGGTATTACTTGTCCTTTGATTTTATTTAGCAAGACCATTACTTAGTAGAGGCATTTCTATTTGTTGACTTAAAATGCCTGTCTCTCTGTATGGCATTTTTACCATACTCTTCCTTAGTTTCACTTTTGTTAGAACTTGTAAGAACTACAGTATGTGTGGTAGACTCATGTAAAAACTGTTTCAGCTGTAGATGTATATGTGAAAAACAGATTACACCATTATAAAACCAAAATACTATGAATAAAAATGTCACTTGGATTGAACTCTTCACAAATTAGATTACAGAGCTAGCTTAAATGTCACCTCTTCAGCAAATCCTTATATTATGGACCGAATTGTGTCCCCCAAATTTATTTATGTTAAAGTCCTAATTCTAAATGTGACTGTATTACCTTTAAGGAGGTAATTAGGGTTAAATGAAGTCATGAGTGGGGCCCTAATCCAATATGACTGGTGTCCTTTTAAGAATAGAAGGAACCACAAGGAGGGTGCACATGTGAGGACTCAGTGAGAAGGGGGCCATCTGTCAGCCACGGAGAGAAGCAGAAACCAACCCTGCTGGTACCTTGGTCTTGAACTTCCAGCCTCCAGAATTCTGAGGAAACAAATTTCTGTTGTTTAAGTCATCCTATTTGTTATTCTGTTATGGCAGTCCGATGTGACTAACAGGTGTTCCTATAGTCACACACCCACCCACCCAATTTCATCCATCTGTATTCTCCCACAGAGTTTTGTCCTTGATATTGACTCATGTGTCTCTTTCCTCTTCTAGTCAGCAATCTAAAGAATAAGAACTGTGCTGTATTGACTTTTATAATCAGTGACTCTGGTGGCTGCCATAAAACTAAGTAAACAATACCAATAAGAAAAAAAATTACTTTGTATTAACAAGCATCTTCCTAAATACACAAATGCCTCTGACAGAGTTAAGGAACTTATTAATCACTCATGTAATGGGACATGGTTCAATTTGTTTTCCTCTTAAGTTCCACTTGATACAGGTTTTATTCAGGGAATGAGTCTCTGTTTGCAAAAGGCTGATCTTAGATCACTTTAGTGCACACAGTAAAGGGTACAATACTGTTGAGTATTTGGAACTGGGTGTTGAAGGGGAAATGTGAGTGGCTGGGATAGTAGGGAATTCCCCTTACCAGCCTGCACTGGGCTTAAATCTGTTACCTCTATCGCTAGACTGGCCCACTCCAATCTGACTCACAAAGTGATTTATTTTTCATCAATATGAGGTCTTATTCACTTAAAGGTAACAAAATACAGTTCTTTGACACTGTCTTCTATAATTAACTTTTCTCTTTTAAGCTTTTAAAAGGTTGATATCCACCAATTTTTGTCCTCCTTTCTCTTCATATTCTCTTTGGGTAATTTCATCCATGACTGATAACCTTAAGAACTGTATCTTTAACTTTATCTTCCCTCCAGAGCTCCACTTGGAGTCACCTTAGTCTCTATGTATCCATACTGAACTCATTCTTTCCCTTCCAAAACCCCTTCTTCTTACTTAGATGTCATGTGTGTCACGTATCTTGGTCAGCTCAGGCTGCCTAATAAAATACCATAGACTGAGTATCCTAAACAAAAGGAGTTTATTTTCCTTTCGTTCTGGACGGTAGCAAGTTCAAGATCAAAGTGCAGGCCCATCTGGTTCCTGGTGAGAGTCTCTTCCTGGCTCCCATACCTTCTCCCTGTGTCCTTCTTCTCCCTGTGTCCTCACATGGCAGAGAGAGATGAAGCTCTCTGGTGTATCCTCTTCTAAGAATACTAATCTTATTGGACCCCAATCCTCCCTTATGAGCTCATTCAACTGCTTACTCCAAATACAGCCACAATGGGGTTTTGGGACACAACATATGAATTTTCAGGTGACACTATTTAGTGCATAGCAATATGAGAGCCAATTCTACAGGCCCATTCACCTAAACTGAGCACTTGGCACTTAGTAACTCTTTCTCTCTCCATGCTAATCCCAATCACTGACCATGGACCATCACCTTGCTCCTTTAGTGTTTCTTTCAACCATTACCTCCTCCTCCAAGGTCAGAATATCTTCATGTCTTTCCTGTTTATTTGTAATACTGTCTTAGCTTTTCTTCCCACCTTCAGACTTGCACAGTTCCTTACACATAAGTGGTCCATCCTCCATACTGCTCTTGAGTAGACTGTAAACCGTATCATGTTTCTCACAGTTTCTCGGTGATCTTGTCACTGGCTAGGACTCCAGCTTTAACTCTTGCAGCAGTCCCTCTCACCCTCTATATTTTAAGCACACTTAATTACTCATAGTGCCCAAGTGTGCTGTGATGTTACATGCCTCTCCACCTTTGTTCATGATGTTTCTTCTACCTCGAAAGCTTTTTCTCTCTTGATTGGCTACATCAGATTTAGCTGTAATGACACTTCTTTTTTAAAAACTTTTCATTATCCCTCCAGGTAGACGTGATTCCCTGTGTAGTATTCCTGCTAGTCTCTCCAGGCACTTCTATCAACAGACATAGAATACCATACTGAACTATGGTGATTACATTAGACTCCCTGGTATCATACTCAAACCCATTAGGTCAGAGGGCATGTCTTACCTATTTTTGCATCCTCCACCTCCAGCTTAGTGCATGACACTTAATGAATATACACTGAATGAATACAGGAGTAAAAGAGATAATAGGACTGAGAGATTTGATTAAATGGAGCAAAAAATATTTCATGGCAGAAAATAGGGACTTTTACCATGACATATTTTCCCATCACCATAAAATCCTTTTGGACATGCACCACAATGATAGGAGCCAAAGGTATTGAGACACTCTGCTCCTGGAAAGCAAGGCCTGGATTCACACTCATCAACATCTTCCTGGCAATTTTTGCCTAAACAAAATAAAGATTGAGAGTTCAAATTATTTATTTTGAAAAACATTATGTGTCTTATTAAGTGCTCATTGATTGATTTCTTTTGCTTGAAGATATTTTACTTTTACTTTCCACAAGATATCTTTACTTCTATTACATTAAGGTATGCCCTACAAACTGCAGAAAAGCTGTAATATATTAAGAGGAATGTATTAATTTTAAAATTTACAACAGAGTTAAACATAGTCATTAATTAGATTCTATTTGACATTAAACAAGACCCTTCAAGTACATAAGATTTTCCCTATAAAAAAGAAGACAAAAACCCATTAATATTTTAAGGCAAAAATTTACCATATTAGAACAGCAATTTTTACTTTGTTAAAAACACTCCAGGAATTTTTAAAAAGGTCTTAGAATGGTTGCCAGCTTAGCTTAAGGACAACTTACGGCAGTCATTGCATTAGCTGTGAAAGTCCATGAAAATTTTATAGCGTGCTAGGAAAAGTTAGTCTTTCCTCAGTAAAATTTTTTGAGATCAAGTGTTGCTCTTCGAAATGTTCAAAAACTTATTTGAATGAATATATTCAGTCATTTACTCACTAGAGTAAAATCATGAAACAATCAACATTTGAAATCTTTCAAATGTAGTCTGTAGCCTAACCCAAATGATAAATTTTTTATTTTACTTTAAGATTTTATTATATGACAGACTGAGCAGGAGGAGGGGCCAAAGAGGAGGGAGAGGGACAAGCCTAAATCCTCATGGAGCCCAGAGCCAATGTGGGGCTTGATCTCAAGACCGAGATCATGACCTGAGTTGAAATCAAGAGATGCACACTTAACTGACTGAGCCACCCAGGCACCTCTAACATTTTTATGTTAAAATAGATGCCTTCAGGGAAAAAACTGCAGTTCAATAATTACATATTTACTTATTTAACATTTGTATCTATTTAAATTAGAGGGAACATTGGTATGACTTGCAAAAAGCTTTGGGAAATTAAAAGGTGTCATTCATACTCTTAGTTGAGGTTTCTACAATCAAACAGTTGAGGATAATTAATGAGTTAGCAAATTTCACTTGATTTCAACTCTAACTTTATATCATGATCTTTTAAGTAAATGAATTATAAACCTTTCTTAAATGATAATTTTTACATTTCCCATGGCAAGTTTCTTCATTATCCATGTTATATTTCAATAGAATACATTTAAATACATTTCTACCTACCAAATTTAGACAGAAATGTTTAGGAACCTGAAAAATACAACACAGCCAAAGAATATTGCCATTAAAATGACAAAAATGGGCAAAATTATAAGAGTTTCTGTAAGCAATGTACAATAATAAAAGGATATTGGTAGCAAACGTATTTTTGATGACTATTACTACACTTTTTAAAATGTATATTAAAATCTTTAGGAACATACACGTGCTTGAGTAATCTGTAGATTACTTGGAAAGCCACAGAACTTTCCTTTCTAATCTGATCACATACTAATTTGACTCGTGAAGAACCAAAACTCACCTTTGAGTTCAGGTGGACATACACAAGAATAACTGGGAAACCCACTAATACACCTGCCAAGGCCACAGGGGTTCGATTGACACTCAGTGACGTTCACTTCACAGAGAACCCCCTCAAAGCCAGGCAAGCAGATGCACAGGTACATTCCACTTCCTGGAGGAAACTTCCTATCTGACACACATGATCCACCATTCAAGCAATCACAAGACTTCACAGTCACCTCCAAAAGAAACAAAAAGTAAGATGCTTTATTTTTCAATAAAATTAACTTCAATTTATGCTCCAGAAATTATGATTGGCATGTATGTTTATGTACAAAACCAGATAACAAGTTTTACAAAAATAAATAAATTAATTAATTAATTAAAAAATATATATTTAATGTAAAAGACTATTTAAAAAGATATGTTAATAAAGTAATTATATCAACTTTCAAGAGCATAGCCAAAATATAAATGCTGGGGATAATTTTTTAAAATGTTACGAGATGATTGATCAATTTCTTTAATGCACGCACCACAAATAGAACAAAAATCCGTAAAGAGTAAAGCAGTCAGTCACCTGAGTTATCACCCCAAAATATAGAGAGTAAATAATCACTTGAATTATGTGGTTACCATGAAATTGTACACAACTGCACTTCATACCATTACTTCTGTATGAGTGTGTCCCAAATGTCGAGCACATACAGTGCAAAAAAATAATAGTATTAACAGCTCATGACTGATAATATCTAAAGAATGGTCAATAAAAATGACTTTACTTGAATGAAAGGGTATAATTATCAACCTGAGGTTAAGCACAGGTCTTTCAGAGAGGTAGAAATTAATGCATTCTTTATCCTTATCATAATTAAGTACAGGTGAAAATGATCTAGGAATCAGTCCTTTAGCTCCATGCTCTAGACTTCAGATTCTCCATAAGATTTTAAATTCTGACAAAAACAGCATGTTGGCAGTTTAATTTTCCATGAAATGTTGAATAATTTAGTTCCTCTTCACAAATTAAGGATTATACTGCAAGTTTAAAATGGATACCGATATTGCTAATTAATTCAGTGGCATTTATGTAATGATAAATATTACCATAATCGTGACTCTCGTTTCAGCATTGCAGTCGTCGTTAAAGAGTAAAGTGAATTGCTGTGGAGTCTGGGACTCTGTTTTCCATGTGAGAAGTCCTGTAGAGGAAACATCTGCTCCCTCAGGACCTGAGTCCAAGGTAAAATGGATGTCAGAACCTTCAGGATCCAAGGCCGTGAACTGGTACGCAAAGTTCTCCCCCAAAAATGTCTGCAATTTGTCTTGCGGTATTTGAATCACTGGGGGTTGGTTGTCTGTCACAGAGAAAACATTTACTTTGTACTCATGTAGAAAAAAAAAAAAAGGAAAAGGGAAAGTACAATAGAGAGAGCTCCTACTGGAACTTTCTGATGAAGTTCAAACTCAGCTAAAACTTCCATTACCTACCCTGGCTCTATTTTTTTTTTTTTTTTTACATTCAGAATAAATTCAATTGCATTCTGAGGAAATGTAAAAGTAACTCACAGGTGCAAGACTTCAAACTTTGCCACAAGAGTGTAAAAGCACTTTGAACAGAGAAACACTTTTGCATTCCCCAAACTGGATGCCTCTTCTTTCTTTCCTGTCTGCAATCACCTCTCCATGTCGACCAACTCAGTGCTTGTTCTCTCACTCTTCTTTGTCCTCTACCCTTTTCAGCTTTACTTTCCATCTCAGCATCTTCTTTTCTTTATTTCTCCTTTACTCTCCACCATGTCTGGACTGTTCATTTGACTCCCCTGACTCTTCCTCACTGTACCTGTCTCCCCCTTTATAACTGGGGGCCACAGAGTCACAGCAACCGTCTGCTCCTCAGAGATCCTTCCTGCTGCCAAGCTCACTTGCTGGAACTCTGGTTATTTCAGAGGACAGAGAGCACTCCTTTTGTGCTCAAGTAATGTTTTAAAACATCTTTTTACATTGTCACATTAAAAAATGGCTCCCTCCCTTGCCAACTGGCTTAACAGATTGGAAGAATAGTCTTTTCCATTGTGCTGGGCACAAACACACTCCACTTGCATCAACAAAGCAGTGATGCCAAGAGAGTATAGTTCTGGTTCCTGCTCTGCCCTCATATATCTTTATACAATTTACTGATTTTAATTTCCTCATCCCTCAATACAAGAAACTTGGGACAGATGGTATTTCCAAACCCCTGGTATCCTTGAACATTGTAAATCTATGATGAGTCAGTCATACTGAAACCATTAAAAACACAGATACCAATTCAGAAGTTATAGTGTGTTTCCCTTGTCCCTGGCACTAAATTCTTCTCCAGATTTTCATTGTCTTCCCATAACATCCCATGGTTCTTGCACTTGAGCAATGAATCATCTGACAAATGGTCGAATGCAGTCATGAAATTTGTATATACAGTAATATATAAAGTGATGTTACAAAGCACAGTATAAATAAAAGGTTTTATGACTCAGATAAAATTACATGGGGATGGGGGCAGGGAGTAAATGTATCTTGTTGTATTTTGTAATGCCTGGTCTTTTCACTGAGGAAAGAGAATGAAGAAACATCTATGTGGAATTATATACAGCTGTACTTAAGGAAGTGAGGAAATTATATGGTACATGACTATGAGGTGGGGTGTTTTTTTCGGGTGGAACTAAGTATCCAGACATTATCTGGACCCACTATTATATTCACGGAGTCACAGAAAGGTAGGGCTGGAAGGCACTTAATAGATTACTGAATCCAGGAAGGCTTATTTAACAGCTGATGAATGCATGGCCTCTGGAATTTAAATAGCTAAATGTCTTGTCACAAAACTAAGAAGAAATAAGGCTAAGGATAGGATATAGAGCATTGGTTTCAAAGTAATGTTCTCATTCCACTAAACCCACCAACTTTACTGATGGACGTTTTATGTACTTATATAGTACTTGAGAGCCTATTTTATTAGTAGCTATTTGACTTGTACAGACTGTGTGTAACTGAATTAGCCATTCCCATTTCTTCCATTAATAATTGAAAATGAAAATCCCATGCCCTATTGTAGTATAATCATAGAAATTACATGAAATAACATTTCATCTTATATTATGTTCAAGCAAAGTAAGTTATGCAGTTAGGAAAGATCCTAAATTAAACACATCTTAAATATATTTATGTACATATATATACTATGTACCTCATGGTTTAAAATCACTTAAAAATATCTTGTAGAGAAAATATCTGGATTAATAAAGATTAACTTACTTTCTAAAAATGACCAAGTAAATTTTGAAATTTTTGGTCTACAAATCAAACAAGGGCTGGTAGGATTTTCATCTCCTTCAACGTAGCAGAGCCCATCAATAATGCAAACATTTTCCTAATGGAAATTTTAAAAAGAGAAAAACAATTACGATGTCATTATAGTTAGTGTTTAGGAAAAAAAAATGTACATAGAAAGGTAATACTATAAATGTTGGTGATTCCAGTGAAAGCATATAATAAGTCTATTCTGGTTAGGAAACATTTTTTCATATATCCTCATCATAAATGTATGTTAGAAAACAAATCTTTTCCTTTTGTGTAATTTGCCTATGGAATTGATCAATATGGAGGGAATAAGAAAACATATATGTAGATTTATCTTTGTGTAGAATTAGTTTATAAATAACAAGGAAGAAAATCTGTCTTTTCTTCTTGTTTATTCTTTGTTTGTTTTGTTTTTACTGCTAACTCAGGCTGGAAATGCTCTATTAATAAAAAAATGAAACAATTTTTCCCCTGCTCATCTTATAGAAACATTAGTTTCTAAAGATTTTCCCTTGCTCTAGGAGCCCACTATGTCCTCTGAATATGGTGAAACTGAACAAGAACTATGATATAATTATCCACATTTGACAATGGATATCCTTATACAAACTAGTAGAGAAGCTGATCTGCAAAAAACATTAAATGTAGCAATCATTTTCAACCTGAGAAAAAGACCAAATTTTGTTCAGCATATATAAACTTTGCATATTTGACAAAAATCTCTTCTGATGTCACTTAGAACACGATACAAAAATAAGAACAAAATAGCCCCAACAATATAAAACAATTGTGAATTGTAACATTTTAAAAGTATTTCTTATAAGACATGTGGAAATGGAATATTTAAGGGAAAGTAAGAATCAAACAACTTTTCAGAAACAGAAACTTCTTATTGATAACATCTAGTTGGTAATCTCAAGGGAAGAAAGATCTAAAATTTAAAATAATACTTTAAATTTTTATCTACATAAATATTATTTGATATGCTTCTCAGTTTTGAAGAGCCAAATAATATTAGATCCCTGGTATCTATTACATCAGCAGCTGGCCTGTGAGAAAGATCTGTTGATAAACCAACAGACTGCAGCTAAATGAAGAGGGTGTGGCTGTGAGGATTCAGCTGTGGCTGGGCTCTTCCGTAATCCCTTCGGTGGTGGAGATTTGCAAGGTCCAATGAATTTAGTTGCCACAAAACAACAACAACAACAAACAAAACCCAAAACAAAAAACCTCCTTATAAAAGTGCTAGCCTTATACATTTCACAAGTTCCAGCCTGCATGCCCCTAGTTACAAAGAAGATTAGGTAACTGTGGAGAGACATCTTACTGGAAAATCATTATTACTATTTCAGAAGGAATATATGTAAGAGTTAAAATTCAATCTGAACCTCCTTTCTTTTTTTTTTTTAAGGAATTTTTTTAAGGAATAAACAAACTGCCATTTCAAAACATACAAGGTAGAAACCTTCTCCTTGCCATTTCAACAACAGTTACGGGCAGAATAAAAATTTTAGTTAACTGTATATAAACTTGAGAAAGGCTTTTCTCCATTAGTATTTCTGATATGAAGGTGAAAAAACTAATATGCCATTAATATGCCAATAGCATGGGAAATGAAAATACCAACTGTGTAAATGTGAAAATAAGTGGAAAAAAATGCATACCTTTACAGTACATGAGTCCTTCCCATAGAGACCACAAACTTGACAAGCCCCATCATATATGATCATTATTCTGGGATTACTGAACTTATAACCATCATTAGATACCTGTAAGATGTAGTTTTATAATTAGAAGATCTATTCTAAATGTAGCTCATAAATTCATTATGAAATTTTAACATATAAAATTTACTTATGTCTTTTCTCTTTTACCTTTATTTGCCACTTTGCAATTGGTTTCTCCCCCATCAGAATTACAGTATCAGACTGTTGGACATCAGGGGGCAGCTGACAATCAATGGTTCTGCTATTTTGAAAAACAGTATTCGTGTAGACAGCTTTTCCAAGGACCCATTTACTGTTATTATACTAAAGGCATAATGAGAAGGCAATTAACCTCTGTTTAATTATAGAACTTCCTTGCTAGTGAATTACATATAATCAAAAGATAAATTTTAAAATGCTTGGCTGGTATAATGGAATATATAATGAAGTAATAAAAGTGACATCAACATTGAATTTTATCCAGAATAATGAAAACCATATACACTTTAATTTGATGTAAACTGCTTCCAACACCTCATGCATTTCTTGTGAGTTCAAATCAAAGAAGTTACCAATATCAGTCATATATAATGAATCACCATGCCATGAGTTTTGTAGCAAGAGGAAACACATTCGACTACATAACTGGCCAACAGTAGATTGATTTCCTACCCAGAAAGTCATTTCTCCCGCAAAAGCTCCTAACCTTCTACTGCAACTTGAAATTGCTCTTTGTCTGGTTCCCAGAGCCCTCTCATGTTCTTATATGACCCATCTTCCTGACTACATGTAACCACTCAAGGGGTGGATCTAAGTTGAGCCAATGCTTTGATTACTTGGACTATTTTAACTTTGTCCCAGGGGGCATGTTGGACCAGTCTGCTTCTGGTGGCTTGAGGTGCAAGACAGAAAGTTATGGAGCTATGGGTAGCTGTTGTTTTTCACTATGTGGAGAAAGCCAGTATCTAATGAAAGGGAAAAATGAAGCCCACAGAGAAAAAAAGAACTGAGTTAGATAACTACACACACATACAAATGCAGACATACTGAGTTTTCATGTGTTCAAGTCCCAAACTCAAGTTATTCCTGAGAAGTCGGCAATCACATTCTAATCCTGATTCTGTGAAAAACGTACTGTCCTCATAATAAGTACCATTTTTGCTCAAGGTAGTTCAGATAAATTTACGTAACTGAAAACTTAATTCTAACCAGTTCACCCTACTTAATAACTCAGTAGCAAATCATACTTAATCTATATTAAGGGATTACTTTTCAGTATTAAAATGCATTGGTGCCTAAAGAAGAAAAGCCAGAATAATTTTCTGGTACTGGTAACTACATAGAAAACTAAAAGGCCATATTTTATTAACAATATTTTGATTTACATTTTTTTAAAAATTTATGACTGTAGAATGCTTTCAATTGCTCAGAAATGGGCAAGGAGCATGTTGATGCTGCCATACTGAGGGTCAGTAGGAGATGGAAAAGAAGGCAAGAACATGAGGTCATCTGTAGCCAGCAGAAACTATATTGTTAAATACTGATGACTGACAGAGTAGGTCACAGTAGAAATCTCCACGTTTAAGGGGATGTGTAGAGTCTGGCCCTACAGACAGGTCAGTTCATTGGTACCCCCCTATGGAGGGGGGCTGACAACAATGTCTCCGGGTAGTCTTGATAAGGACACTTAGATGGATACAGGACTTTGTGTATTGAACGAGATTTCATACAGAAATCATTTCCACCCACATTTAGAGAAGCCTACTCCAAATAAGGAATAAACAGAGTTCTATTTATTTTCCATTGATCAATATTTTGTGAGTATCTATAGGTGCTGAGGGCTTTCTGATGAAAAAGATCACAAAGGAAAAGACAGACAAAATAATTTTAATATTACTGTAACCAAGACTCAAATAAAGCTTAATGAAAGAGAAAGACGCCACTGACTCTAGCAGTCAAGGGAGGCTTCTCCTCCTGAAAGTAGAAGAGACTGCTATTCGGACACAGGGAGCAGAAATGGAGAGAGTGTTATTCAATTTGTTTGGAGGGAATAGCAAGTGAAATGTGGGGATCCATGAGACAGCATGAGATTTTAGTAGAGCATATCCAGGAGGTTCACGTTTGCAAAAATAGATAAGAGCTGGATCACAAAGGGCCATTCATTTTTAGGATAGCTATTTGGATTTAATCCTCTAAGTATTTAAAAATTGGATTCTGTAAAGTCCTGGTCTGGGGGCAGGGAGTGAAAGAAAGGATTGGGTGGGTGCTTGCATCTCTAGATAAAAACTTGCTTAAAATTACTACTGCAAAAGTAGAAAAGAACATCTATAATATACTACCTCTCATGTGAAAAAAAAAGGGATTTATCTGTTCCTTTGTGCAAAAGAAAGGCAGTAAGAATAAACCAGAGAAGAGTGAGAGTGGATACTTTCAGGGGATAGATGGAAATGGGATGGAAAGAAAGGGTAATGGACAGAGTGGTAGAGATGATAAAATGGTGACATTTCTCTGTGTGTACCTTTCGTATGGTGCAAACCCTCAGATCCATGATAGTATTTTGTATACGTTCCAAATAAGTACATAACTAAAATCAACCAGAGTGCAGAGGATATTCAAAGTGGAATACAAACATTAAAAGGGGCGCCTGGGTGGCTCAGTGGGTTAAAGCCTCTGCCTTCGGCTCAGGTCACGATCTCAGGGTCCTGGGATCGAGCCTCGCATCGGGCTCTCTGCTTGGCAGGGAGCCTGCTTCCTCCTTCTCTCTCTGCCTGCCTCTCTGCCTACTTGTGATTTCTGTCTATCAAATAAATAAATAAAAATCTTTAAAAAAAATTGTATTACAAATGAAATATATAAATACCCTGAACAGAGTGCTGAAGAAAATAGCTAATCTAAGTAAGTTTGGTTTGGGCTGGTGAACATCGATATTTCTTTCTGTAGTTCTGTACAGTATGTTAGAAAATTTCATAGCGTGCTCTTTATCAAATGATTAGGGGGAAAAAAGGTAGTATGAGAATAAATATCACAGCAAATAATATATCTGAAAGTAAGTACAAAGTGTACTTTCTCTTTCTTGGCAAATCACTTAATGGTAGTGTGATATCATATGATTTATTCTGCCACAAACAATATAATGTCTACTCTCTTGAGTAATACTAAGTGAACAAAATTATATATATATTCCATTTTCTATTGTGTGTCTTATTATTTCATTAGGATTAAAATATTTCATGGTTATTTAGAAAAGCTCTACTCAAAAAATCTGGAAATAAGCATATTTTTCTTGTATAAATATTTGATAAAGACAGATTCAAAAGTTATTTCCTCCTTAAATTCTCAATCTCAGGATCCCATTTGGCTTTAGCAATTTAGAGAAAAAGTAAAAAGAATGCTAAAATGTCATTTGCTGTCTTAAGTTTTCAGCTTATCCAAGTAGGTGCTTTAAAAGAATTTCCCTTAAAATAAAAATCCACTTGAATAAAGAAAAGGAAGACCATATAAATAATCATCAAAATAAGGTGTAATTTGATACACCAGTGTTCAAACTGAGTGATCATGTCCATTATTTATGGCCTAAAGAAAGAAAAACACTATTTTCTTTTTGAAATAAGAGATAAGTGCAATTATTTTTCAACTTTTTGTTTTGTAAAGGGAACTGTTCATATCCCTGTGCCCCTTAAGCCACACAGGCTGGCTTGGATAAAAATGATCTCCATTCTTTGTGGTTTTACATTTTAATAAATACAGAAACTTCCATATCAAGCTTAATATTATTTTAATTTTTTATTATAACTAGAATAATGAACCAATACTGCAATAAAAATTATATAAAATAGTTTAATAGAGTTAACAAATACGGAAGAAGCTTTAAGGTCAAGCAATTCAACCATTTTCCTATTGAGCGCTCTGTGGCTACGACATCCATTGAGATTATGTTATTAATTGACAGACTAAATTAATTCAAGATAAAATTAATCTGAATAAATCATAAACTTGATTGTTTTTCAACACTATAATTAACATACCTGCAGTTTAGTAATTTCACATTTAATTGAAGGTGATTCTTTGAAGCCTTGACCAAACACTCTCACTGTCATACAATTATATTTTCGAATATTACAGAATCCAGCATTCTCGAGTTCTATAATTTCAGGAGCCTTGTCTTTGGACAGAATGATAAAACAAAATGGACAAATTTTCTTTAATTCCAGAAAAATAAACTAATTATTTTCAAGGTCCAAGTTAAAAGCATACGGAAAATATATTCTGAACTCTACTCCATACTATATATGTATATATATATGTATGTATGTATTTTAAAGATATTATTTATTTGACAGAGAGAGAGAGAGTACAAGCAGGGGGAGTGGCAGGGAGAGGGAGAAGCAGGCTCCCTGCTGAGCAGCTCAGGAAGCCCAAGCAGGCGCTCCATCCCAGGTCCCGGGATCATGACACTTAACCCACTAAGCCACCCAGGCGCCCCTGAACTATTAAATATTAAGAGAAATCTGATGTTAAGTGTGACCCACCATCAAAGCAATAAAAATAGCATTAAAGATACTACCAGTGCCTAAATATACAGGTTTAAGTAATGTTTTAATAATGCTTAATACCAATTATTTACAAGCATTAAGAAATTACTACTACAATGGCCTGTGTTTTGTTCTTGCCATTTTGGTCTATACCATAGAAATGGGTTATACCAAAAGTACTTTTGTGGGGTGCCTGCGTGGCTCAGTGGGTTAAAGCCTCTGCCTTCAGCTCAGGCCATGATCTCAGGGTCCTGAGATGGAGCCCTGCCTGCATCAGGAACTCTGCTCAGCAGGGAGCCTGCTTCATCCCTCTCTCTCTGCTTGCCGCTCTGCCTACTTGTGATCTCTCTCTGTCAGATAAATAAATAAAATCCCTAAAAAAAAAAAACCTTAAAAAATACTTTTGTAATAAAACAGTGTAATTAGCAATGTGTTAAAATTTAATGTGTTAAAATTTTAAAATTCTTAAACAGTATAAGAGTTATCAAAATTTCATGAAAATGTTACTAATGTTCTTATTTATTATTGCTATCCTATATGCCACCACAATCTTAGGTGTACTTTCAATCATTGGAAAAAAATTTCTCCTAGCTGTCAGAGTTAACTGATCATCATATTGTTACATATCTGATTCTGGTCTCAGTAAGATGATACACTATCTGTATCAGCAAGATCTGGCTGTCAAAATAGATAAATGCTGCATATAAAAGTAACAGTTCTCTAAGTACTGGCAAAATCTAAGTGAATATAACTTTACTAGCAGTGGAATATAAGATCATAAATTGCGTGCTCAGAACACTAAAATATTTGTGAAAATTAAAAATATATATATTTGCTAGTTTACTCTTTCATATTCAACAAATGTTTACTGAGCAATTTCTATTTTTCTGATGTTATTCTAGGCACCGGGGATATATGAACAGAATAAAGCTCCTGCCTTCTTATAACTTACATTCTAATATAGGACAAAAAATAAAAAAGTGAAAAATAAAGTATATTGCATAATTGTTTTCAAACTATGAAGAAAACTTATATATTAACTATATGAAGGGACATAAAGACTATGGGGTGTGTGAAGGAAACTACTTTATTTTGAATGACCGTGGAAGATGTCTCAAATAATGACATTTGAAGAGAGAAGAGAAGGAAGTCCATCACAAAGATAGATGTTGGAAGAATGCTCCAGTGAGAGGGAAAGTAAATGCTAAGGTCCTGAAGTAGGAGCAGGTTTGGCCTCTTTGAGAAACAGCAAAGCAACCACTTAATAACACTGGGGGGCCGTGAGCTCTGGAGAGAATGACAGATGAAATTCAGTGAGAGAGGAAGCTCCAACTGCATTGGGTCTTCTAGGCCACGGTAGGGCATGTAGGTTTTACTTGGAAGGAGAGGACAGCCATGAGAGGGATTTAAGCAGGAGTACTATAATTCCACTACCATTTCAAAGGGGTCACTTTAGCTGCTGCATGGAGAATAAATTTTGAGAAAATCTATAATAATCCAGATGAGAAATAAAGGTGGCTTGGACTAAATTGTAGCTGGGAAAGAGATGAAAGTTGTTAAAGCTAGAGCCAGATTTGCTACTAACGGATTAAGCCTGAGGCATGAACAAAAAAAAGATGAAGAGTCAAAATGACTGCAAGTTTTTGACATGAACAGTCAGAGGAGTGAAGTTTGCATTTACTGAGACGGCAAAGTCTCTCAGATAGAAGGGTGGGATGGTGGGGGTAGAAGGAAAATCTGGAATTACTGGTTTAATGGCTAATGGAATCAAATTGATTTTTTTTTAAGATTTTGTTTATTTATTTGAGAGAGAGAACAAGAGCAGGGGGGTGGGCAGAGGTGGAGGAAGAAAGCAGGATCCCCGCTGAGCAGAGAGCCTGATGCCCATGCTGGTTGGATCACAGGGTCGACCCCGTGATCATGACCTGAGCTGAAGACAGATGCTTAACTGAATGAGCTGCCCAGGTGCCCCTCAAATTGATATTTAAAAATTTCTTTCTCTTACATATTGGGATATAATAGTTTGTACCATGTAGGTGGATTAGAGAAAAAAAGTTAAGAAAACTGGCATAATTAGCAGAGTATTAGAAACACAGTATCCAAAAATTACTAAATCTGAGTTCTAGAAAAAAATGATTATTCTCTACAACAGGAGGGAGGAACTGCATGCAAAGACCCTGTGGTCAAGAAAACTTGGCTTACAGAAACCAAAGTGGGTAGAGTGAAATGAGTGAGGGTTTTAGTTGTAGGAGATGAGTTTGAAGAGGTACAGCCTGCCTTATAGGATATTATAAGTACCACAGCTTTTACTCTAAGATGAGATGCTTTGGAAGAATTATGACTGTATCGATTAGTTAATTGGGGTTCTTTTCCCTAAATAATCTGAATAAACACTGTTAAGATACTGAAAGTAAAAAAAGAACAAAGAATTTCCATAACCCAATAGCATATGCAATATCAAAGCTGTAGATTTCTCACTCACCGTGTGAATCACTGCAGTCATAGGAACTAAAGCCTGCGGAGCATGCGCATCCCCATTCCACACACTCCCCATTGCCACTGCATAAACTGGGGCATTTGAGGACCTCGAGAATGTCTTCAACTGACTTGCTGTATTCTTCTGTGCTGTGTTTCCCCTCTTCCAAAATTCTCTTTTCACATTCATTTTCTAAAAGAGCCACGCCGGCTTCTGCCCAGCTAAGATCATCTTTTAGGAGAACATCTTTAACACACATATCTATAGCAGTGTCTAGGCTCTTGCCCAGAAAGGCGAGACAGTATCTTCCTATGCTAGAGTTGGCAAGAGTCTGCTGGCAGAGCGCCAAAGTTCCATGTTCGGTGAGACCAGAGGGTGTGGGCCATGTAGGGACAAACTCCTGGTGGACATCCTCAATATGGTCCTCAGGGAAGAAATAAGCAAGTTCTTCTAGGTCACTTTGGCTAAGACTTTGGAAAGCAAACATAGGAATAAACTCATAAAAGTTTTGCCGTTTCCATCTGTTTTGTGGATCCCTCCTCATTTCCTGGCTGTGACTACCCTCGCCCCGTGTATGTTTCCCATTGTCCAGAGTTTTTGGTGCCTCTTGTTTTTCATTTCCAGGATGTTTTTGTAAATGTAATTCCAGTTTGGTTAGGTTCACATGCTTTTTTTCTTGAGGAAGGAAGTTCGAATTATTTTCTTCTCCAGATGTATACTCATTTATCCCTCTGATAAGAGCTTCTGAATTAATATACTCAGAGGTGACATCTAGTTCTGGTATCAAGAAAGAGAATCTGACATGTTTGAGATCTCTGCAACCTGAAACAATCTCTTGTTGAGAAGCACTGTCCAGACGATTGGAAGGATATAAAGAATTAGTGTCTGATGAGCAGCTACAATAGGACAATTTTCCAGGTGAAGGCGGAGAAACTGGCATTGTGTCAAACATGCTTTTCCCTGGCAAAATCCTTCCAGGTGAAAAACAGAAAAGAATAATAAATTGCACAAGAACAGTTTTTCTCAGTAACATGTTGCCAAAAAAAGGCAGAGTATTGTGTCTCCACTAAACACAATAGCTAATGAAAACAGTTTACTTTCTTACCTCCATTCATTAATAAAAGCAACACAATTATCAAAAGTTAGATCAATTTTTATCCCATTTTTATTATGGAAATCATTTTCTGGGTTTTCATCAAAGGTGCCACAAAGTCCCAAAGTGTTTCTATAGTCTAGGCTAGGGGCTCTGATTGTTAAACTCATGCCCCATTCACTAAGATCAGCACGGATAAATGCTCCAGAAGAAAACCTGACCTGAAATACAGAAATAAGACATGCTTAAGCAATATTCAATATGGATTAAGAAAAAAAATATTATTTGAGAAGAAACAAATTCATTTATTCCTTCAATATAAAGAGAGAACAGAATACTGATTTTCTTCAGATTACAATTTTCCTTTTAATGCTATGTGTCAAATCAATGGCTTTTGCACTTTGCTGACTTGAAATCTGATCTCTATATTGACTCTTTTATTGCAAAATATTGTTCAAACCTCTTTCTTTTTTCAAACCTCTTTTCTTCTAAACTAAGGTGGGGTATTTTATACAAACAAAACAGCTATAAATGTTGAGGATTATGTTTACCAACTAATGCCTCTGATAATAATTAAGTATGGAACTAGACTGTAATTAATTTACACAGATAAATGTAATTCCAGAGGAATACATGTTCCTGTGGCTAATCAACATTCTCATCTTCACAGTAGGCAAACAGAATCATAAGCCAAATTATAAACAGGGCATACCTGGGGAGTTGGAATGAGAGCAAAGGGTTTGTCAAATTATCTCAATAGCCTGTATCATCCATGATCCTCACAGGCCTACCGCTGCTCCCAGATCAGGGACCTGAATGTTGGGAAATGCTCTCTTCTAAAGTCACTGAAGATACATGATCTATGTTTGTTCATCTGACTCTTTCTCCGTTAATTTTTTAAATTTAAAAATGGCATTTTTTTCTCTGTATAAAAATCGTAAGTGCTCACTCCCAAAAATGATTTTAAAAGCAAACAAACCTTACATTACCATTCAATCTGAGCTAGTTCATGTTAAGATTTTGGTGCCGATTTTTCTAAAACTGTTCCTATATGCCATTAATATCTTTGCCTGCCAATTAATACAATTGACTCCAAAATTTTCATGACTAGACAGTGTTCTATTGTGTGACATCACTTTACTTGGGGTTTTGGTTAAACTACAAGATTCATCATTGATTAACTGTAACTTTTCCATCTTAGAAGGAGAGATACAATGAACACTATCAGGACTCTGAATATACTTATTACGGTAAATTTTCAGAAGTAAAATTTCTTGAAAAATGACATGCGTAGGTTGTGTGCATGCATAATATAGCTATGTCCTTTGGAAAGACTGTAGCTACTATTTCTATTCTTGCCAACATTGTATGAGATGTTTAATCTGCATTTCTTTGATTACTAATGAGGTCGTGGTTTTCATATTTTTGTTGGTTATTTATACTTTTGGATATATTTATCAGTTTTCTTTCGTGAATTGCTTGTGTATATTATTTGCTCATTTTAATTGGAGTGCTGATTGTTAGTGATGTATAAGAGTGTTTTCTAAGGGCACCTGGCTGGCCCAGTCAGTAGCGCCATGAGACTCTTGATCCTGGGGTTATGAATTCAAGACCCACGTTGGGTGTAGAGTTTCTTAAAACAAACAAACAAACAAACAAAAAGACAGGAAGATAGAAAAATACTTCCAAAAAGGAGTGTTCTCTATATTAACTGTATATTTTATATGTAGAAAATATTTTCCCAGTTTTTCATTTGCATTTTGGTTTTTAAGGATGGAATTTAAATACATAACATTATGTTTAAAAATTCTTGTTTACTTCAATGTTATAGAAACATTCACCTGTATTTTCTACAACTTTCATTTAAATTTGAATCTTATTCACTTGGAATATACTTTTTTGGAAGATGAAAGGAAAATGACATTATAATATAAATAGCTTACACACATGAACTATTATATTAAAATATTAATGATCTCTAATCTTTTCCATGTATCTACCAGCCTATTCCTGAGACAGAACCACCTGTACTCATTTCAAAAATTGGCTAACTACTCCTGGAGACTTATTTTTTTTAAAAGGTTTTACTTATTTGATAGAGAGAGACACAGCGAGATAGGGAACACAAGCAAGGGAAGTGGGAGAAGGAGAAGCAGGCTTTCTGCTGAGCAGGGAGCCTGATGTGGGGCTTGATCCCAGAACCCCGGGACCATGACCTGAGCTGAAGGCAGATCCTTAACCGACTGAACCACCCAGGCACCCCGCTGAATACTTATTCTTAATTATATATTTCATCTCTGTCTAATATACTATTTACTCAGCACTGTCAAAAATAATTTATAGGAATAACCCACCAAGTTACCACACTGAAATCTTAAAGTAAGGCTGGTTAGATTTGATGAAGTATTAACTATGTTGTGTCTATTCGTGTGTGCTAAGCCAAAGAAAGAAAAAAAGTTATTCCTTCTAAGATCAGTATTAGTTGTCAAAAAGCTATTTCTGGGGGAAAACTAATGTTAAAATATGATAGTTCCTAATTTAATAGAGATGAAAAGAAGTTCAGATTTTAATCCAAAATCTGTAGGAAAAAGAGGACAAATACTTTTTAAAAATCATACATACTGTGACTTTTCTTCCTAAGTAGGATTCACTTATCTTGATATTGCTGGTTACATCTTGGCTCTTGACAGATAAATATGGCTGTGATTCATGTAGCTGACCACTGCACATATCAAAAGTAACAACATCACCTTCTTCTTTGGCAACAAACCCGCAGTTACACGACACAGGATAGTGAAGGCTTCCACAGTCCCACTGGCGTACATGGACTTCAAAGTCACGTGACACACTCTTATAAAGCACAAATGTTCCAGTTTTGAAATTATCATATACCCTATGGTTAACAAAAATCAACTGCATTAACAACTGTACAAAATACCACAATACGTTATAAGCAAAAAATGTGTGTTCAATTTATTTATACACATTCAATGTATTTTGATACAAGAATGAAAAATCCATGTATCTAATAGTTTCATATTAGTTTATTTTATTTTTTTGATTTACTTATTTATTTGAGAGAGAGAGAGAGAGCATGCACATGCATGTGGGAGGGGGAGAGGGAGAGAATCTCAAGTAGACTCCCTGCAGAGTGCGGAGCCCCATGTGAGTTGATCCCACCACCCTGAGATCAGGACCAAAGACCAAATAAAGAGTCTGACGCTTGACCGACTGAGCCACCGAGACACCACTACTTCGTGTTAGTTTAGAGCACTGAATGAAACAAAGTAGTGAAAAACACCTAATCCTATGATTTGTTTCTTCCTTTTACCACTTTGGTCAACCCTGCTAGAGCCTTCTCCTCCTGTCCCTGCTATAGTTTTCTTCATAGGACCCATGCTCCTCAGATACAGTTTGTATTTTATTTATCAACTGTGCATATCTCTTTACCTATGCAGAAGTGAGCTGCATGACAGCAGGAGATGTCTGTTTTATGAACTGCCATACCCCTAGCATTGAGAACAGGGTTTGTCACCTGTTGCACAATTAATCTTGTTTAATTATAACCAATTGAATTAATCCCCACTATGCTTTCTAGAGGTAAGATTTTTATTGTAACCATAAAGGAATCTTGCATGTGGGATCAATTTCTACAACTTTTCAATAATTGCTCAAACTTTTTGATTATCATTTGCTATGGAGTTCTGTATTATTTGCTCATACTGAATAATTTTACTGACTATGATCACATTAAAATTTTTAAAAAGAATAAATTATCTTACCTTACATGATGAAGACAATTTTGACTCAACAAAAAGTTGTTCTTATAATTTTCTTTAGGGACATCTTAAAATCATATATTCCCCAGAACAGTATAACTGAGTTTAAATCCTCATATGCAGATATTAATAGCAAGATAGCTTAGATTACTTTTTGATCATTTTGTCCATTTTACTTGCATTCCAGGGGCAGATATCTAGGTATTCATGATGGCTACAATAGTTTTCCCCTGAGTATCCTTGTCATGAAATAGAAATACTCAGTTTTTAAAAAGATTATAATGAGTTTGCCTAATCATCTCACCTAAACCTTAAGGATTATTTCAGTATCATGTGGAAATGCAATATAGTAAATATCTTTAGAGCCAAGAATTTAACCACTATTAAAGATAATGAAATCAAGTTAAAATGATTATTTGTAAGAATCTTCATTTTTACTAATTCAGCCTCATAACTAAATAGTGTACTTATCAAGGGCCAAATTTGAAGGCAAAAAAACTCCACACAAATAAATTAGTATTTTGAAACAAGCCAGTGATATCCATACATGCCTTCCTGTCTAATCTTTCAGTGAATAGGACGAAGAAACAATAAAATAGGAAGATGTTTAAAAGAAAACAAAAGCAAAATCCAAAAGAACAAAAACTACTAAAAGAAAAAAAAACTTTCAGGAAATTACCTGCCATCAAATGTAATTATATGTGGGTCAGTAAATGAATAGCAGTAAGCAGTTGGGACATCCTTTACTTTGATCTTAAAAGCAAAGACATTTTTGGTAAATATTATCATTAATTGTATTTAGTGATACACAATAAATTGCTTAGCAATCTCAATGACTTTGTCATTACTGTTTTTACCACAGTTACTGAAATTGACTCATTTAAAAATGGAAAAAGCTTATTAAACAATTTTGAAATGAAAAGTTTACAAGATGTACTGATAAAATAAATATATCTTTTTTAAAGCTCCAATTGTAAAGGTATTTTTTGTAATTTGTCAACCTGGATGCTGTCTGGAATGTAGCTATTCCACAGGAAATCCTCATGTACTATAGGTTCCACTACAATGTTTGTCACTCTGTCTCCATCTCGAGAAAAATCTGTCACAGCAGTGTAGTAAACCAAAGCATGGCTACATGATCCATTAGCACAGGACGATGTCCGGTGAAGGTCCACGTGACAGGAAGACAGCGCCAAATTTAAACCTCGCTGTTCTTTACCTATTTTGTGAAAAAATACATTGACATTTTTTTTAAAGGAAATATACCAACCAAAGCATGTAACAACTTGATTAACATGGAACACTGAATTGAGAGATTATTCCTCTTTTCTTATTTAAAAATATGGTTGTAATTTTGTCTAAATAAAAACAAAGTTACTGAACCCTACCCAATCTTTACAATGAATTAATTAACTTCAATATATATATATATATATGTACATACATAGTACTATTTTCAATAATGCTATAAATCCATATGTACCTGCATAAAATTCAAAAGCAGTATAGAAAATGTATTGTGTTTCTGTAAGAAAAAATCAGGATTCCATCACCAAGAAACATAATGTGATGTTCTTTCTGCCTAAGAATTGCGCCTTTGGTCCTGATATGTCTGTGACATTTCACAGGGTTTGTACTCATGTCCTATCCATTGTTGAGTGATAGCAACGATTGTTGGTATAGATGATTATTGTATCATCATCTTAAAAATAGAAATGTTAACATAAATTAAGTAATTCCACATGGTAATAAACTCTCTATTCCTTTTCTTCTCCCAAATGTCCCAATATATTCAGAACCTTGAATATATTGAGATGCTCCCTTTCCTATGGAAAAAAGAACAAAAACACAAAAAAAGAACAAAAGAACAAAAAATAATAATTTAGAAAGAAAATGGTAAGAGAAGAGGGAAAAAAGAACTTCTGGAATGTACCACTAAACAAAAAGGATAGATTGCTCCAAAAACTGGCAAAAAGGGAAGTTTGCTCTCCTATCTAATTAATGATTGCAAAATCCTTTTGAGATCCAGAAAAAAGCAGCAGTTGTTAAAAACTTTCTATCTTCTTTTCTTCCACACATAATTTTAAGGTATAAAATTATATTGGTCTGATATAGAACACTGTATTGGACTACAAATTCCTGAGAAAGAAAAAAAAAGTTCTTCTTCATGCATTTTTTCCCCCTAGAAATACATACTGATCCTATACACATAAAAATTAACAAAAACATCTAAACTCTTAGCCAGCTCCCTAAGGTGATCATGGAATACATCTGGCTTGGATATCGCCCCTGACATCATTTCCTCAGTCTATGGTGTGAGGGCCAAGTATTGTTCTCTGTAAGCTTATAATAAAGCAGCATAGTCATTGTAGAAATACATTAGGAGAAACCAACTTGTTCTCTATGGAAGTAGATACACTTAAAAAAGATAAGGTGAGACATATCCAAAATGAAATCCAGAAATTCTTCTCCAGAAAAAAAGGAAATTATTTTTAATTGACAGATAATAGGAACATGCAAACTTTGAAAATGTAGAAATATATTGCTTTTCTATTATTATAATGCTTGTCTTGTTGAAAGAATTGAGAGCACACAAATATAACTCAAAGTAAACTTGCAACTGGAGAGAATCTTTGGCTAACACAATTGGAAAATACCAGTAACATCTTCCTCTTCCTATTTGTCCCCGTAAACTGTAACAAAATTTACAAAATACGCTTTTCACAGGTTGTCTGAAGTAGAATTATGTCAAGTGATGTGAGAGAGGGTTTAATTTCATATTTCTCTGCTGAATTTCAAAATACAATACTGCTCATGGTGCTCCCAGAAATCTAAATATGTAGCAGGGTATGACCTCAGCCTGCTTATTGTCAACTGCCTGGAGACGGCCTCTCTCAATGCCTCTTTCTATTTCCATATCCATCTCTTTACTGGGTGCAGCATTCATTCCCATCAGACTCTCTTTTTATCCTTTTGTTTCTCTGGTTTAATTTGGTGTAATACGGTGCTCGCTTCAGCAGCACATGTAATTTGGTGTAATATAGACATGAAGACCTAGATATATTGTATTTGATATATTTATTACATAACATTTTATGTCCTATGGTGAAAAGGTGTATAAACAGAATCTCTCTTAAAAGTTGCATTCTAATTTATGTATCTCTTATGTGCTTTGGTCTCTATATCGGAGTCTTAGGGGGAGAAACAGAATCTAATCAACCCAATGATTGCTATAAATGGTTTGTCCTCTCGTACTCTGTCATGTTCATGGGAGAATTTCACCTTTCTCTATAGGCTGTGACAGTGACATATATGCAGCCATGCATCCTGCAATCCTTATAATTAGCAATTTAAATAGAATTTTAAAACAAAAGATCTCAAACACAAGCTTACATTAGGGAGAGAGAAGTAAAGAATGCATTAGGAGATTCATGTTGCCTAAGTTGGAACTTATGTTGGCATAAGTTCCATATCACACCTCCCTATTTCGGGGTATTTGGAAAATCTTCAAGAGCAGTTTGTCCCTCCATCTCCGAAAACAAAGCAAAGAAAAAAAATAATAATAAGTGAGAGGAGGAAGAGAATGAGAGGAGGAGAGAATAAGAGGAGGAGCTGCTCATTACTGGGCTTGTTGGTTGGTTTTAACAAAAGCTTCCAGGCCAGGAGGGATAAATGAGAACTGCAACACAGATTGTTTTGACAGTCATGATAATAGCCCAGAAGTATTAATATGAGTGAGCCATAACTTGATGTAAACACACAACATAATTAATTACATGTACACACTCCAGTGACTTTTTCTAGAAGAAAAAAAAAGCATTAATTATTATCTGAAATCTAATAATAAAATTAAGTGAATTTAAAATATTACCTTGATCAACAGTTTTCAGTTTTAATGAGATTTTGCACTGCTGGCCAAGCTCACTGGGTTCAGAACAAATGACAGGAACTGTGCTCGCTATCTTCAACTGATATTCTTTCCCATCTTCTGATATAATGCTTAACTCTGGGTGTAACTGGCAAAAGAAAGCATGCAGAGCAGTCATGTCAAAACAGAATTTATTCCTAAGATAAAATTCTGCAAGAGCATTTTTCTTGACAGCTCGTATTTTGCTAAATAAGCTAGGAGTAATAACTGAAGCCCTGGAATTTTTTAATTAAACAAGATCAATTAAAACCAAACCCTTAAAAACACTGGCAGCATGTGAAATTGCTGGACTGCTCCAAGCTGAGCCATAATCTGGTTCCCCAACACGTTAGGCAGCCTGGTACTGCCTTAGTGATTCTGGTTCTGGGATGGGTACTGGAGAATGGAGGAGACAAAGACGACTATATTCTTCCATTGCTTTGTCAACATTTACTGACTCACCAAGGTAAGAGTGTATTTATTCTTAGGGACTAATATCCATTCCTAACATAAATTAAAAATGTAAGGTTTTTTTTTTTTTTCAAACTCCTATTTAAATTCTAGTTAGTTAACATATAGTGCAATACTAGTTTCAGGAGTAGAATTTAGTGATACACCACTTACATATAATACCCATGCTCATCATAAGTGCCCTCCTTAATATCCATCACCCACTTGGCCCACTCCCTGCCCACCTTGCTCTATCAACCCTCAGTTTGTTCTCTATCATTAAGAGTCTCTTATGGGGCGCCTGGGTGTCTCAGTCAGTTAAGCGTAGTCAGTTAAGTGTCTGACTTCGACTCAGGTCATGATACCAGGGTCTTGGGATCGAGCCCTGCAGTGGGCTCCCAGGTCAGTGGGGAGTCTGCTTCTCCCTCTCCCTCTGCCTGCCCCTCTGCCTGCTTGTGCACTCATTCCCTCTCTCTCAAATAAATAAATAAAGTCTTAATTTAAAAAAAAAGTCTCTTATGGTTTATTTCCCTCTCTTTCTTTCCCCCCTCCCATATTTCATCTGTTTTGTTTCTTAAATTCCACACATGAATGAAATCATATGGTATTTGTTTTTCTCCGACATTTTTGGCTCAGCATTACATACTCTAGCTCCATCCACATCGCTGCAAATAGAATATCTATGTATTTTTTAATATATAAATCAAAATACTATTATCACTTTAAATATCTCAACCATCAGCTTCTTTCACTGCCTCTGTTTTCCTCGTTGGATTACTGAGTACTGAAAATCTAGGACCGGTCCTATCCAGTTCATAGGCCAATCCTTTTGTGAGCCAGCAAGTTTTTAATCCATCTTAGTTCCTGGCTAGCTCTCCAAACAGATGCTTCTTCGCACCACATTTTCTCCTTGTTGGCCTAATCAGAAACATTTTCTGGCGGCGGACCGCGGAACCCTGATGTCTGCTGAGTGTTCACCAATGGAGATCCAAAAGTTCCGTGCTCCAAGGTCTGAGCTCTGCTCTCCCTCCACTGTAATTATGCTGTTCGACAACATGGTTACTCTTCTCCCTTCTTTCCCTGGTCCCTGTTGTGTATAAGTGGACGTTCTCCAGGAACAGGTTCTGCCCTGGTTCTGAGTGTTAATCTCACAATCTATCAATCATCCCATCTTGTCCCCTAACTGGAGCTGAATCCAGGCCAAACTCCAGCACCGTGGCTGAGACCGCAGAGGGTGTTCAGTGCTTGCCTGACTAGACCTCCTGATACTCCCCCATTTCCTTCCACCCCTTCTGGATTCGCTGTCATACCTGCTCGTCTGCTGCAAAAGCTCACCTGTTCTTGGATGCCTGTGCTACCAGCAGTGACCACAGATGCTGCCTCCTTTAATGAGGCCCCTCATCACAGTTCACAGAGCACAGATCCCTGGGTCAATTCTATTCCAGTCAGAGGCTTCAGTACCGGACCTTGTCCTGTCTTCCAAAATGTATAACTAAATATCAATGCTCTAACTTTTAGTTATATGATGGAATGAATTATGGGACTAAAACTTTTATTTCATTCTAGTCTGAGCTACTTCTGAAAAAATATGCAAATATATTCCAATTTTTGTTCATTAATAGGGGCCCTCAAACATCATTGTGCCTTACAGTCATTTGGGTTACTTTTCAAAAATACAGACTCAGGGATCTCAATAGTCGGTGATGAGGTCCTAGAACCAGCATCCACAGATCGCAGTATGGAAAACACAGTGATAGAGAAATAATCTTTCTGATCCACCCCCATGGCTACATACCTTAATGCCTGCAAAAAATTCTTGGCTTTCGATGGCTAAACTCTGTACATGTGGTTTCTCCAATAAAAAGACGGAAGCACTACAGAATATCTACGAATACAATTAACAAATAATCATTTAGCAATAAAATTATGGAGAAAATACATGTAGACTATTATAATTAAGTACTTTGGGTAGATAGTGCAAACAAGATAATAAGAAATGAAATAGTTTTAAAACTTGCTTGAAAACTGGGAAAAAGTCCATCATTTAAAAATATTAGCTATTCAAAACCTCAACATAAAGTGTTGTAGACTTTGTGTTTTAAGATATATTTAAAAGTAGATAATAAGTGATAGCATCATTAAAAAAATGAAAATATCTTTCTAGAATAAAAACGTATCATTTTAAAACCAGAATGAGACATGCAGTTATATGGGTTCCTTGATAATCCAGCCAACCGCAACAGCGGATCTTCACATGTAGTCACTAAAATTATTGACTCATCCAATTATCACTGGAGTTGGCACGCTTGCAAAGGAAAAAAAGAAAAAGAAAAACAATAGTACTTTATATTCTGAGGCCAAAAGTATGTTTAGGATATGTTATATTAAAAAAAATCCATTTTGAAAATTAACACATCATGAAAAGAAAAGAAAATCCAATTGTTTGTGAACATACCCTATCTCCGAGCCTGAGATTTATGCCATCCAGTTCTAAAAGAGAGGATGCCTGAACTGTGGTCTCTTGCTTCAGCTCTTCTTTCACTTCTTGAGAAGAAAGCCTAGACCAAGTTATGAGAAATCCCACTGAGGTGTTTGTAGAGGAAACCTCAAAAGCACACCTACAGAAAAGCCTGGATCCAATCAGCTCCACCACAACTTTGGGCCTTTCTGGGGGTGGTGGTGGCAATGAGGCAGACAGCTGACCTGATGGGAGAAAATGCATCATCTGAAGTCAGGAATCTTAAAGAACAGAGACTTGGTGATGGGGAAAACTCACGGAGACTAACTCAGGGATTTATATTAGGAAAAGGAAGATAGTACTTAGAGAGATAATTATTCTCTAGCAATCAGCAAAGTTGCATGTTCTTATTTTGATCCATAATCACAGAAATACTGACAGCAGAGAAATTATCAGCTCAAGTTTATATTAACGCATGTTGGATGTGTCTACTCTTGAAGAGTCTAGCTCTTGGACATAAAAGTAATTTACCTCCTTTAAAGCAATTTCTGAAAGATTTCCTTTTCTAAGACAGAACAAACAATAAAATTAAGGTCTTTTACATTATAATTTCTCACTTTAAAAAGTCATTATAATGTAAATTTAAATGACTCACTGTTTTACTCTTATCATTTACTCTTACAACTCAACTTATCATTACTGTGGATTGAAAGAGCTGCTCATCACAAGAGTGATTATACTGTTCAGTGGAATATATCAAGTGTTAAAAAATAGTCTTAGTCTTTTCATTTTTTCTGATGTTAAAAATGTTTAAAGTTTTCTCTAGAAATTTAGGAAGACTTTGCAGTTTCTATCTCTGGTCATTTGCAAAATTAAATTTGGGAATCTAATGTGTTTTGATTTCAGGTACCTGGGTGGCTCAGTCAGTTAAGCATCTGCCTTCCGTTCAGGTCATGATCCCAGGGTCCTGGGATGGAGTCCCACACTGGGCTCCTTGCTTAGCAGGGAGTCTGCTTCCCTATCTCCCTCTATCCCTCACCCGTGCTCTGGTGTGTGCTCTCTCTCTCTCTCACTAGCTCTCTCTCTCAAATAGTATAATTAACATCTAAAGTAAGTTACAGTACATAAAAACCCATTGAAATTATTAGTTTATAAATAATTATTTAAAAATAAAATATGGTACTTACGAACACAGAGACCTCCAATTTCAATTTCATCAGGATGACATGGGTATAATTCTGCATCAGAAATAGCTGAAAAAGGTTCAGATTTGTATCCTTATTCAGTTGAGCGTAAAGATATAAATACATAAATATCTGAAATGACAATTCTTTGGAGAAGTATGTTTTAATACAGACCTAGACTTACTAGTTCTCTTTTTTAATAATAATATTTTCCCTTTTCAAGATGAGATTAAATGGAGATAATTTATAATCATATTTTAAAACAACCACAGCTTTCATATCTTGTTTTCTAAATTTTAGTCTACATTATTAAATAACAAAACTACAATTTCCATAAATTTATATGAGAGTTGGTTTGAACCACTTCCATGTAACTTGCCTCCCCTCTAACCATGTGCAGGATTACAGAAATGAGTCAGCAGCTATCATGGTAATAACTATAACTATAACTATATAATAATTCTCAATGCCAAACTCAATTCATTGGGATAAGGGTAACTACCTGAACAAAGATAGGCTCATCATATTGCTTCTTGGAAAAATTTAGAATTTGAACCTAGAGACAGGAGTTGAAAACTGGGTCAAGTCACTGATGAAGCTCTACAGGAATGTCTACAGACTCTTACTGCCAACATCATGGGAGCTGCTCTATTGCCATACCTTCTGAGGACTTCTTATTTAACTCTTTCTTGGATTCAATGACAGATCCTAAAATTGTTAGAGTCCATCATTTTTAAACATTCTTTTTACTTGTTTTCTTTTACTTGCAACTCAAACTAATATTTATTGTGAGTTATTTTTTATTTGCATTTTGATCATTTTATTTGTATATGGAAACCCAATTTGTTGAAACTTGTCCTTAAGAACTGACTGTGTTCCTGTGTTGAAATCAGTTAACTATGTGTGTTGATTTATTTCTAGACTCTATACTTTTCCACCCATCTATTTGTCTATCTTGATGCAATACTCTGTAGATTACTATAACTTTAGAATATGTCTAAAAGTTAGCATAAATTGTCCAATTCTTTTCCTTATCACTATAGTTGTGGATATTGATATCTTGTATTTCTTTAAAATTTTTAGGATAAATTTTTCAATGTCCACAAAAAAACTTGCTGAGATATTGATCAGGATTGTTTTAGAGCTATAAATTATTCCAAGGAGAACTGATTTCTTTTTTTTTTTTTTTAATTTTATTTATTTATTTGACAAGAAAAGATCATAAGTAGGCAGAGAGGCAGGCAGAGAGAGAGAGAGAGAGAGAGGAGGAAGCAGGGTCCCCGCTGAGCAGAGCCCGATTAGGGGCTTGATCCCAGGACCCTGAGATCATGACCTGAGCCGAAGGCAGAGGTTTTAATGCACTGAGCCACCCAGGCGCCCCGAGAACTGATTTCTTAACATCGAATCATTGTTCCATAAACATGGTTTATCTCTCCATTATTTTAAGTTTCCCAATTTCTCTTAAAAAAGTTTTACTGTTCTTAATAGGTCTTATACATCTTTCTCCATATTTATTCCTAAGTATTCCATATACTTAGTACTATAATTGGTATTTTTATTTTTATTTTTATTTTTTTTAAGATTTTATTTATTTATTTGACAGACAGAGATCACAAGTAGGCAGAGAGGCAGGTAGAGAGAGAGGAGGAAGCAGGCTCCCTGCCGAGCAGGGAGCCCGATACAGGGCTCGATCCTAGGACCCTGGGATCATGACCTGAGCTGAAGGCAGAGGCTTTAACCCACTGAGCCACCCAGGCGCCCCTATAATTGGTATTTTTAGACGAAATTTTTGCTGATATATAAAGAATTACATATAACTTTTATATGTTGATCTTTTTAGTCAGTATCTCTGCTAGCTCCAGTGGTTTTTTGTAGATTCCACTGGATGTTTTCTAAATAGATGATATCATCTGTATTTATATTCACAAGTGATATTGTTTCATAGTTTTCTTGTCATGTGTGTCTGCTCTTAGTGTCAGAGTAATGTGGGACTTGGGGAGTCCTGTAGTTTCTACTACTCATTTTTCTGGAAAAGTTGTGTAAAATTAGTATTATTTCCTCCTTTATTATTAGGAAGAATTCCCAAACCATCTGGGCCAGGGTTTTTCATTTGTTTGTTCTGTCTATGGGATAGATTTTAACCAGAAATATAATTTGTTTAATAAATATAGGGCCATTGAAATTATCTTTTTTGAGTGAGCTCTTGTTATCTGTGCATTTCAAGAAACTTGTCTACTTCATTTAAGTTGTCAAATGTACTGGGAGTTATTCGTAATTCTTCTTTATTAATATTCATAGAGTCTGTACTTGTATTAGCTCTCTTATCCTGATATTGGAAATTTCTGTCTTATCGTTTTGTACTGATTGAATTGGCTAGAGAATTATTAATTTTATTGAATTTCTCAAACTAGCTTTTGATTATCTTAAGTTTTTTGTTTTGTGTATTATTTCATTGATTTTCACTCTGGTCATTATTTCTTTCCTGCTTACTTTGGGTTTCATTTGCGCTGCTACTTCTAATTTCTTAACTATGAACTGATGGTTGCCTGGGTGGCTCAGTTGTTAAGTATCTGCCTTTGGCTAAAGTCATGATCCCAGGGTCCTGGGATCGAGCCCCACATGGGGCTCCCCACTCTGCGGGAAGCCCTCTCCCACTCCCCCAGCTTGTGTTCCCTCTCTCACTCTCTCTCTCTAAAATAAATAAATAATCTTAACTATAAGCTGAGGGGTTTTTTATTTGTAAACTTTGTTTTCACTGTATATTTAGTGGGTTTTTTTTTAATTTTTTTTTTACTAACATCAAACTTTTTCTAATATTCTAATTTCCTTACTTAGGGTCTAGAATGTAATCTATCTTGATAATACTTCCTGTGCACTTGTAAAGAATGTGGGCTACTCAATCATTTGTGGAATCTTCTCTAAATGTTATTTAGATGAAATTGGTTGATAGAGTTTTCTAGTCTCCTCCATTTTTTTGTTTTTGTTTCTATGTGCTCAATTATCGACTGATGGGTGCTAATCTCCAACATGAACCATAGATTTGTCTATTTCTTGTTGAAGTCCTGTAAGTTTTGCTTCATGTAGTTTGAATTCCATTATTAAATACACAAATCTTTAGAATTCTTTTGTCTTGTTTTTCAATTGACCCTTTTATCTTTAGGAAATGACCCTTGTTTTTCTAGGTAATATCCTTTGCTCAATAATTTACTTTGTCTAATATTAATATTACTACTCTAGATTTCTTGTGATTTGTGGTACTTAAGTTTATCTTTTTCTATCCTTATATCTTCAATCTCATCTTTCTTTATATTTAAAATGGGTTCTTCTGGGGAACGTGTAGTTGGTTGTTGCTTTTATTATCCCATCTGAAAATTTCTGACTTTCAGTTGGGGTGTTTAAACCTTACATATTTCTTTTTAATTTTATTTATTTATTTGTCAGAGAGAGAGAGCACACAAGCAGGGGTAGTGGCAGGCAGAGGGAGAAGGAGACTCCCTGCTGAGCAGGACCCTACGATCATGACCCGAGCCAAAGGCAGACGCTTAACTGATTGAATCACCACGGCATCCCCCAATGAATTCTTAATAATTATATATAAGTCTTTTTGTTTGAATGGCATTGATAAGTATAATATTGAATTAACCTTCTTATTTGGCTTCTAGAAAGTACAGATAAACTGTGTGAAAAAAAGCCAAAGAATTCTTCTAAAGTAGCTGTCATAAGACTTCTTTCAAATCAACTCCTTAAAGGGAAGTGTTCCAGTTAGCACATGCCCTCTTTCCACCCTTAGGGCTTCCCATTTCATCTTGTCTAAAATGCACATAAAGGGCTTAAACTGGACCTTCATCCCCTCACTGTGAAGGCAAAGCAAAAGCCTAGAGACTCACAGAGTCCTCAGCCTGACACTGTAACATGGCCAAACCACCATCAACTGGGAACATCTGCTACAGATTCTTGGTAAGCAAGAAAAAGAGACACAATGCAGATTGACTCATTTTTGTTTGCTATCCATGAAGTCTAATTCCAGTCTAAATAGTATTTTAAGGTAAGCTTTTTTAAATTGGCACATCAGAGAGGATAATTCATGTGTTCATCTGACTAATAACTTACACACAAAGAGTAAAAAATAACAATCTTCGCCCCCAAATTCTCCTTAATTAAAACCAGTAGCAGGACTTGAATATGGAGAATAAGAGAAGTAATTCTCGAATATTCAAGCTTGAAAAACTGAATGGGTGGAAAAGGCATCTACAGGAATTTTTTTTTAAGTTTTAAGGGTATGCCATAAAAATGCAAATTTCATGTATTTTGTTTATAAATTCAATGTAAACAGTATTTCTGATGACTTGGTTGTTTTTATTTTATGATATTCTCTGGTATGAAAGTTTTGTTTTCATTTTTAACAGTAATCAATATTTCTTAAAATAATGTAGGCATATTATTGTTTTTTTTTCCCATTGAAACACCTAAACAATTTTCCACAAATACTTGGCAATATTATTTGAAATTTTATAAAAATTAACTTTTTAATGACACAAATATTGAAAAACACTTAAAAGACATTTTTCAAAATCTCTCAACTTGGCCACTCAATGAAATGGATGCATCTCTCTGGATTTTCTCCTTCCCAATGAGTAACACTAGCTCTATTAGCTGAGCAGAAGCTGTCCTTCCTCAGTGAACGTACTGCTTTCCGCCAGGTTTAGCTGGCCAGCAGCTGTGTAAGAAAGATGAAGATTTACTGGCTCATGCTCTCAGGATAATTCTCCTAAGACCTCTCATAGCACAGAGAATAAAATGAAGAGCTCCCTAAGGATCAGGCATTGCTGCCTTCCCAAATCCAGGTCTTGTTAGGCTCTCCCTCACTCTCTGTGATCCAACATCTCTGTGCTGCTTTGCTCATGAGAGCAGCACCACACTCATTGCCTCAAGGCTGTTCATGTGCTGCCCTTGCTCTCTGGGAGGTTCTTCCCCACACTCTTTATCTGCCCCAGGACTATCTATCTACCCTCAAACTCTCAATGTCAATGCCCTGCTTTCAGTAGAGGCTTTTTCAGCATCTCATAAATTTCACCCTCCCTCACCTCTGGTGTTCTTAGCTACAGCAACTTTTAATCTTCTCATTCACATCATTCATTGCAATTTGTGGTTCCACATATATACTCTTTGCCATTGTTTTGTCGGATCTGTTATTCGTTTATGTTTGTTTATTTTTATTTTAATGTGGAGAGTCTAAGAACCTCAGGATGAAAATATTCATAGGTGTTACTCATACAATTTTTATTGTTTGCTCAATCCAGTGTTTGCCTAGTTTAAGATGGCTGATCTACAACAGTATCTCCCAGCATTTTCAATCGACTACATATGAAGGAGTCCAGATAACATAGGGGGAAGTTGATTTCCTCCCATAATCTAGTCACATATCAGCACACTCCCTCTACCCCAAGAATAAATCCCTCAATTGTTGGTTCCATTCTTATCTAACACAGCCCAAGCAAAAAAAAAAAAAAAAAAAATCACGATTATGTAGTTTCTATTTTGAGAATATTTCTACTTTGAGTTTCTATTTTGAGAATATTTCTACTCCTCGTATCTGAGGAGTTGGGTCACTAGTTCTATAAAATACTTCTAAGGGCACCTGGGTGGCTCAGTTATTTGAGCATCTGCCTTCGGCTTGGGTCACAATCTCAGGGTCCTGGGATCGAGCCTTGAATGGAGCTTTCGGTTAAGCTGGGAGTCTGCTTCTCTTTCTCTCTCCCTCTGCTCCTCCTCACTGTTCATTCTCTCTCTCTCTCCCCATCTCTCACAAATGAGTGAATGAAATCTTAAAAGAAAAAAACAACTTCTATTAAACATCCATTTGTTGAATCCTTACTTTTTAAGGACACAAGGTTTTGAGACCCTGATGTAAAGGGTACATGGTCTTCAAAATGTTCACAGTCATAATAGAGTACAGAGAGAATGAAACAAACAAACAAAAACTCAGTAAGTTCGATTATCTATTGTGAGCTCCATGATGGTGTATTATGAGAGCTACCCACAAGCGCCCCTATTCCCCAGTATCCTTAGTCAATACCGTATCAGTGGCAGGCTCATGAACCTGGTGTACATTTTATGTCTCTATATCTCATGTTCCCTCTTACGGAACAGGCCAAAGTGCAACTTTCCATTTCTCTCCCAACTGATGTCTTACTTTCCCATTTCCATTGCCCAAGAAAATAACCTAGGCTTTGTCCTTGGTTCCTTTCTGTCCATCTTCTCCCATACCCAGTGTATGAGCTCTACTTCCAAAAGACATCTCAACTCAATAACCTCTTTTCTCTGTCACATGGTATAAACCATTTCCTTCCCCCGCTGCAACCTTAGAGCGACCACCGTCTTTCCAAAGCTTCCTAAACAGAGTCTTACTGCAGGAATAGTGGCCCTTTAAATACAATCCTTAGACCACATCCACCTACTTTAAGATTTTTTTTTTTTTTTTTTTTATTGATTTGACAGACAGAGATCACAAGTAGACAGAGAGGCAGGCAGAGAGAGAGAGGGAAGCAGGCTCCCTGCTGAGCAGAGAGCCCGATGCGGGACTCGATCCCAGGACCCTGAGATCATGACCTGAGCCGAAGGCAGCGGCTTATCCCACTGAGCCACCCAGGCGCCCTCCACCTACTTTAAATCCCATAAAGTTTTATACTGCAGTTATGACTAAATCTAAGTTCCTACCATGGTCTACAGACCCTACTGTCCCCTTCCTACTTTTCTGACCTCATCTCTAAAGTCTCATCTACTCAGTCGTCCTGCCACGTTGTTCCTCCTTCAGTTCCTTAAACGGCCATCTTCATGTCTATCCTAGGACACTGGCATTTGTTGTTTTTCCTACACGGAATGCTCTTTCCCCGTATATTTCCATGGCTGACTTATTCCCCTCATTCAGAGCTCAGCTCAAGTTCATCATCTACTGAGAGAAACCTTTTTCAGGCATTCTTGTAAGACAGCATCCCTGTGTCAGTCAATTGTTTTTTTCTCTAATTTATACACATACTGCTTTCAAAACTAATTTTATTTTTTGTTTTATTTTTGGGTTGTGATAAAACATTTTATTTAAAGTTAATTTTAGACTCACATAAAAATTATGAAAATAATATGGATCTTTACCTGTAATAATACCCCTTCCACTAATGTTCACATATTATGAAACCATGATACATTTATTAAAACTCAGAAACTAACCTTAGGAATCTATTCTTAAATAAACTGAAAACTCCATTTGGATTTTACTAGTTTTCCAGCAGCATTCTTTTCTGTTTTGGTATTAAATCCAGGCTATCATCATATTGCATTATTATTCATGTTTCCTTAGTCCTTTCCAATCTGTGACAGTTTTTGCACTCTTTCATGGCTTTTCATGATTTTGACACTTTGGAAAAGTATTGTTCAGGTATTTTGCAGAATGCTTCTGACTTTGGACTTACATGAATTTTCTCATGATTATACCAGGGTAATGGCTTTTAGGGAAGAACACCACAAAAGAGAAGAGCATCTTATTGCATATTATTAGTAGGAGCCCAATATCAACATACATTATCACTAGTGATATTAACCTTGGTCACTTGATTAATAAAGTGTCTACTAGATTTCTCCACTATGAAACCACTGTATTTTCCTTCCTATATACTATTATTTGGAAGGAGGTCACTAAGTACAGTCCACAACCAAAACAAAAGGAATTAGACTACACCTTATAGGTAGGATAGTAGCTACACATATTTGCATTTGTCCTTAAGAAAGCTTTATCTCCTTTCCTCCACCAATTTATTTCTCTAATCATGCCTCGATATAGTAGGGACTCACGGATATTTATTTTATTCTTTGGGTCATAGTCAGTTCATTTATGTGTGTTGTCTGAGGCACTCCACTAGAATATGAGTTGCATGAGGTAAGATAACCCATTTGTCTTGTTCATTACCATAACCCTACGTCCTAAAATAATTCCTGGCAAAGGATAAACATTCAATCCATATTAATGAATGAAAGATGAAATAATATCAAACATATTTTCATGATCTCTTTTACTCACCATTCTTCATCTCTTAATTGAAAAAGTGAAGGGACATGAGGAAACCAATGAATTTTTAACACATTCAATCATCATGTCCAAAGGGAGGAAAGAACCCTAAATAGGTTTGGCTAATTTAAACCAGAAATTTAGCTTCACCCTACAAACAGTGGCAGACCGAGACTCTTCCTGAAATCTGTATTATTTCAACACAACCCATCCAAAGAATGGCCCCAAAACACCAACACAAACAGTTCTGCGATTAACAGCTCTTGGATATCACTCATATTTTCTTACCTTGTGCACAATATCCCATACATCCCTGAGTGGGCTGTAGTAAGTACACAAAAAAGTTTCCACAGTTTCTTACAGACACTGGGATTTGAAAAAGGCAGCAGTCTTTTGTAGCACTAAATGAAAACTGCCACGTGGCACAAGCTGTCAGTTGCTTGATCTCTCCAGGTGAAGGCAGTGTCTCTGAATCTCTCAGAGATAGCCAGATGGGGGCCTGTGTTCCACAGTGATTCACCTTTTGCAACAGAGAAAACAAAGTTGAAAATCCAATTTATTTTCACACATAAGTCAACTTTGCATTTTCTTCTAAACAACCTTTAAAATAATAGACTATTATTTAAAAAACTCTAATAACTTGTACCTGTACTGTAAGAGGAAATTTATATAGCTACTAAATTTAAAGAATACTAAATTTAAGGTTAATTGTTCATAACTAATATTATCTTATTCCATTTAAATTTATTCTATATTACCTTTGTAATGTAAATAAGACAAATTCAGTATCAGATAACTTACCACCATAGTGATACATTCTAAGATAAGAGAATCTGAAGTCATCTTAATATAGAGCAAAAAGATAAACTCACCTTGGAAATTTCTTCTAAAATTACTGGATGTAGTATATGTTAGATTACTGGGGGGGGAAGGAGGTGGGGGAGGAGGTAATTGGGTAATGGGCATTAAGAAGGCCACTTGATATAATGAGCACTGAGAGTTATACAGAACTGATGAATCACTAAATTCTACGCTTGAAACTAATAATACAGTATATGTTAACTAAATTGAACTTATATAAATAATTTTTTAAAAAGAAGTTAATGTGGGGTGCCTGGGTAGCTCAGGGGGTTAAGCCTCTGCCTTCAGGTCAGGTCATGATCTCAGGGTCCTGGGATTAAGTCCCCCACCCCCCAATCAGGCTCTCTGCTCAGCAGGGAGCCTCCTCTCCCCTTTTCCTCCTGCCTGCCTCTCTGCCTACTTGTGATCTTTGTCTGTCAAATAAATAAATAAAATCTTAAAAAAAAAAAAAAAGAATGTATAGTTCACGAGGCATCAAAAATGAGAAGAAAAGGAAAGGACTGTTCAAATCCAGTGATGAAACAATTGGTTGGCAATTTGAAAGAAAAGTCTCCCTTAAAGCCAATTATCAAAATATTTCCAGTTGGAAAATGGAATTAAATAGGAAACTAACCCAGGAAAAATAAACTGCATATGATTTAGGAACGACCCACACAGGCACTTGCTAAAAGCATGACCTCAGGCAAGACACTCAGCATCCTTCCTTTTTGTTCTAGGTGGATTGTAGTATGTGCTATGGTAAGGTATAAACATAATTATGTACATAACATAATTTCTACATAGCAATGACTCAGTTTTTTTTTCAGATTGTTATCCAGATTATAATACTCAATATTATGATTTCTATACTTAAAAACAATGGAAATCATAAAGGAAAAGATTGATAGTTATGTTTAAATAATAATTTTAAAAATATAAGACAAATAAGAGTTAATAAGAATTGGGTGCATCTGGGTGGCTCAGTGGGTTAAGCCTCTACCTTCGGCTCAGGTCATGATCTCAGGGTCCTGGTATTGAGTCCCACATCGGGCTTTCTGCTCAGTAGGGAGCCTGCTCCCCCCACCCCCGCCTGCCTCTGCCTCCTTGTGATCTCTGTCTGTGAAATAAATAAATAAAATCTTAAAAAAAAAACCCAACAGAATTAAATAAGAACTATTTAATAACATTATATTTAGTATATTATTTATTGTCACATTATTATATTTCTTATTTTATTTTAATTATATAATATTATCCACTTAAAAACTGTAAGATCATAGATGGGTAAAAGACACAAACACATAATTCACAAAAGAAATACAGATGTCTAATGAATACATGAAAGTATCCAGTATTAAAAAAGGTATTTTTACCTACTGCTCCTAAAATGAGAGATTAACATATTTTTTAAAAAGATTATTATTTATTTATTTATGTGACAGACAGAGATCACAAGTAGGCAGAGAGGCAGGCAGAGAGAGAGGGGGAAGCAGGCTCCCCGCTGAGCAGAGAGCCCGACGCAGGGCTCAATCCCAGGACCCTGAGATCATGACCTGAGCCGAAGGCAGAGGCTTTAACCCACTGAGCCACCCAGGTGCCCTGAGATTAGCATATTTTAAAAAAACAATTATATGTATCAAAAACTTCAAAAAGACATTAACCTTTACTAATTTTAATTATAAAATAATCTTAATAAATACACTAAAATATAAGTGATTTATATGCATGTTTACTAATTGCAGAATTACTTATTATAGCAAGAGCCCAAAGGCTCACACATGGCAATGGTTTATATAAATACAGTATATGCATATGACAGAATATTATTTTCAAAATTAATATTAAAGATTTTCAATAGCATAGGAAAATGCTAATGCTGTAACTACCTGAAAAAAGCATGTTATGCAATTGGACATGTAGCATGAACCTTAAAGAACAATATAAAAAGAGGGAATGATAGCAAAATGTTTTTATGGTACTATGACTGTGTGGGTATATGATGAATGAATGTTATTCTAATAATAGTCCTTCATTTTCTAAGTTTTCTGTAATGTACATGAATTACTTTAATCATCATAAATAAACATTTTCATTTACACAGACTTGTATTATCCTCTAGAGTTAAAAAGAAAAGAAAAGAAAAGAAAAACAAAAAAGTCCTACGGATTCTCCAGGTGGCTCCTCTAAAGCTTTGAATCAAGTAGGGAATGAGAGAGTGGGGGCAGAGAACACTTCTCCCTGGGGCACAGCCCCAGTGAAATCAGTTCACTTTTACATTTGTGTGAGGTTCTAGATTCAATTATAATTAGTTCAGCCAAAGGAGAAAAAACACAAATATTTAAGGATGTAATGAATTTCCTGTAATTTCCTCAAATTTTACTTCTAAATTCTGATTTTTTTAGTTTATTACAAACAAAATGTCACAAAAGTGACAAGCAAATAAACAAAAAGGAAAGAATAAGATGGCCACAGTGTCACAGCTTAAATACTGTTAAAATTTGGATATCTTCCCTGAGTTTTTTTTACATTACGTTTGAAAGGGAAAATAATTCCTGCTTCTGCATAATTCACAAAATGTAGGTAACAATAAGGAGAATGAAGAGCCCTCACATAGAAGGAGCCTTCTATTTAAGACTGACAAGAACTTGAAGCACTTAGACAACACAGTATTTTACTGTTCGCAAGTTACTTAGAGGTAAGTACAGGAACCCTGGAGACTAGTGGCCTGTGATCGATATGTGGCTGTTTGGATAACTCTAGCAGGGGTGTTTTCGCTTAAGAATCTGTGTGTCCTGTGTTCTATGATGGAAATAAGGGTAACAGACTTTATTCTAGGGTTGTAAAAACTACATAAGATAGTGTAGGTAAAAACCCTTGGTGGACTGCATGAGCGTAACATTAGCTATTACTATTATTATTACAACAGGGAACATGGCACAATATTCCTTTGGATTAACTCAATCTTGACACAAAAGTAAAATCATATTCCAGAGAGAGAAATAAATTGGTTTTAACAAGATTCAATCCTCATATGAAAAAATACATAAGAAAACAAACATGTAGTTCTTAGTGAGTTGAAATACCTCAACACATTTGGTTGGCATCTCAGCAGGTCTGTCAAAGATGAGAAACCGATACCATCCGGGAGAGAGAGAATGGTCACATATCAGGTCTTGAGAGGGAGAATGCTGGAGGTGCATTGAGTCAAAATGCACACTTCTGTAAGGACTCTGAAGAAACCGGTGTCCCCCAGGAGAGCACTCCCGAGCTAGGATGGAAAGACAGTGTCTTATGTATGTGTTTTCCTCATTAACACAGTTTATTCCTCAGTTAAAACTGATTCTCCTCCCAAATTAAGCAAAAACCTACAACTGCACATAATGACCATATGACATGTCAGGATTTCTTAGTAAGTCAAAGATGACTTGCATTTTCCATAAATGCAATAAACCAATCAATAAACTATAGAATGTATTTTTGAGGTACTTAAATTTCAAGAACTTTATTTTCATTTAATTTGGACAAGCAATACTGCTGCTCACTGTTGAGTTAGGATTTGTTTACTCTTATCATCTGAAGTCACAGACCCTGCAAAGATGCCTCTTGAGAGTAGCCCTCCAGATCTGAATGCCATTACTGACCCTTCATGACACATATCCCTCCCCAATAGCCATATGCCCCCCACATCCCATCTCTGCCAAGTCCTGGAAGGCAACGAATTAAGCTTTTAAGGCCAAGCTAATTTTTGCAAAATGCCCTCCTACTGAAGTTTCCCGCATTCTTGAGTACAGGAAAGAATATAGTTTTCAGTTTTTTTTCCTTTTTCTTTTTTTGTAATATAAAGTATTGAAGTCCCTTTTTATGACCAGGCACAGGAAAAGGAAAGGGGTGTAGGAGAACAGTTTTGAAGGAGAAACAAGAAAAGACCCTGGAGAAAGGGAGACTCTCTAGGTTTTTTTTAGGGAAGCCATTTTCTGAGTAGCACTTGGCCTGGAGGATACTTTTTCTGTCAAACCCACAGAGGCAGAACATAAAGCTCCTCTCCCAGAAAGAAGAGAGAAACAGAGGCAGTAATCCTAGAAACATGTCCTAGAAATGTAACCAGAATTATAACTCTTGTTTGAAGCTCCTGTACTCTCAAATAATAGGAAGCATAAAGAACTGTCCTTATTTGAATATTAGAGTTTCTTGTTGATACAGTAGGTATAAAATCTCCAAATATTAGCTATTATGTATGTTGAAGGAAACTACTATAATACAGATACTATCTATAAAATAGAAATGTGAAAGAAAAATTCAATCATTACTAAAGTACCTCACTGTGGGAAAAAATTATCTAACTGAACAAAAACTCTCAAAATTTATTACATAATTTTAAGTTACAGAAGTGTTTTTAAATAAAAATCACTTATAAGAGCCCAATAAACTAGAGATATTAATTTATAAGTCAATATCATAAATGTAGCTTATAAAAACTTATTATAATTTTTTTTTTTTGCTTTTTGTTGTTGGCAGAGATAGCAACTGAATTGTACAAAATATATTGTTCTCCAAGACAAAAGATATTCCCAAAGAAATTTTCATAGTAGAAAAATTTAGGAATGAACACAAAAGGTTTCTCCTTGTTTTATCTCTTGCTCCACAAGTTTTCAACATCCCCAGAAAAGTATAATCCAAAAAATACTATTGACTTTGATGATCTCAAACTGTCAACATTAGATAAATATTTCATAAAATGTGTATGGCTAGAACTCAGGAGACATGCTTCATTTCGTTTAATTTTGAAATAATTCTAAGATCCTATCAGTACCACAACATTGTACCTGGTTAGAAACCAAGGAAAATATTTAAAAAAAGATTCCTAGTGAGGTTTGCATGAATTATTGAAACATTTTCACTGATCTCTTTCCTAAAAGAATTTTGTCTTGGGAAAAAAGTCATAACTCTAACTTGATTCTGAAGAGTATTTCTCCTTCTTTAACGCTTCTGTAGTGCTCACATTTCCTCTGACTTTGCACTTCGAATAATTGTTTTCTAAATCAAAGCTAAAGATGTAGTAAATGTACTGGCAATCACAGCGTAACAACAACAGTGTGCGGAAATGTTGGGGTTTAGAACAAACGTTCAAAAAAGCATTCTTGAGATGTCTTTGGTGCAAAAAGGTGCATTTATTAATGCATGGTGACAGGACCCATGGGCAGAAACAGCTGCACTGAGGTTGTGACCAATTATATACTTTTAAGTTGGGAGGGGGTTAGGGATAGTGAAGGCCTATAACGAATTTTGGAGGCAAGGTTTCTAGGACCTTGAGGGGGATAGCTATTGTTAGGAAATGGTCATTTATTACTGTCTAGTGAAACCTTAGTCATAAGACCCCTAAAGTGTCTCATGTATTGGTGGACCATATGCTTAGGGGATAATTGCTAACATGTCTCTTGGAGGGTAGAGACAAAGGAAGTTTTCAAAGGAATTTTTTTATGTTAAAGGAGACTTAAAGGATCCTGGAGGTTGGGTTAATATTAATGTAAAATTGCCTTTTGCCCTTAGCAAAGTATTAACATTGAGACAGTTGAGTTCTTAGAGGAAATCACTCTGCCTATCTTAAGGACATGTCAGTGGGCTCTAGGCAATAAGGAAATTTAATTTTTTCTTTTGCCTTTGTTCCCCACATCAAACATTACTAAAGAACTATGTAATATTTACAGAGGAAAATTTTTTAATTAATTTATTTTTATATAGTATTTATTTTAGAGGTAAATTCTTTTTTTTTTTAATTTTATTTTTTATAAACATATATTTTTTTCCCCCAGAGGTACAGGTCTGTGATTCTCCAGGTTTACACACTTCACAGCACTCACCATAGCACATACCCTACCCAATGTCCATAACCCCACCCCCCCTCTCCCAACCCCCCTCCCCCCAGCAACCCTCAGTTTGTTTTGTGAGATTAAGAGTCACTTATAGTTTGTCTCCCTCCCAATCCCAACTTGTTTCATTTATAGAGGTAAATTCTTAACTCATATAATAGTAACCCATATTTTGTATTGTTCATTTCATTTTTTCCCAAAAAATCTACTTGTCTTTTTAAAAAATGTTAAAGGTCTCTGCAGAAAATTTTAAAATCTATTAGCAATAAACAAGCCACATTCTTAAAAACCTCATTATAACCTTAACTCTAGAATGCAACATACAGTTAACTAAGTGAGAATTATATCCTTATAATTCCCATCCTATCCCATCCTTGGTTTGGGCTCCCATTTGGAAATCTGGGGGCTTAGCTCCTCAAATACTAAAAGAAGAGCTCTACAATTAGAGCTCACTCATAAGTCAATTTTATGACATGTATGATGTGCTAAGCTTTCTAGCAAACTACCAATATAACTTTTCCCTCATAACAAAAATACATATAAAATATACATTAAAATTGACATTTCTATTTATTCTGTCTTTCCCAGGAGGATTCAAATAAGTTAGATCGTATATAATAGAATCTGTAATACCTGGATTTCAAATACTTTGGGAGAATTTGCCAAGTTATAAATAATAGGTACATAATGATACAATATGAAAATGGTTTTCTACTTTTGTTTGTAGATATAAAATGATCTGTACTAGATTGTTTTCTAATTTTAACACAATGGCCAAGAATCCTTAAGATTCATAACTGGTAAACAAACAAATATGTTAGGAAAGTAGATAAATCACCGTTTTAAATATGCTTAACTCCTGAAAACAGCTACTTCATTATACCTGAGTTTATAATCATAAACCTTTGGTGTATTGCTCTATGGTAATTTTAAATATTTGTGATTTTTTAAAATTTATATAGCTTCCCTAAGGCTTCTGATATTCAAAATAAGACTATGAGTTCTGCAACAACACAGAAGACTAAAAAGCAAGGTCTGATAGAGTGACTAGTTTGCTTTATCTCTTTACTTTGCCCTCCTTCATATAACAAGAGGCAAAACTAAATGCCTCTTGTGAAGAATACAAATAGACTGAAAGTGTAAGTATGGAAAAATAACATACAAGCAGCACCCACAAGAAAACAGGATTGGCTATATTCATATCAAACCAAAAAAATCTTTAAAAATGTTACTAGAGATAAGGACGGGCATTTTGTAATGATGATAGGTTCAGTCCATGGGAGGGAGAAGAGCAGAGTGAGAGGGACAAGCAGACTCCACCCTGGGATGATGACCTGAGCAGAAATCAAGAGCCAGATGCTTAAATGACTAAGCCACCCAGGCATTCCACAATACTCCACTTTCAATATGAATAGAAAAATGGGCAGAAGGTCAACAAAGAAATAGAGCTACAACAATACTATAAACCACCTTACCCTAACAGGCATCTACAGAACACACCTGCCAACAACAGCAAATAGAAGTTCCTCTGAAGTATACATGAAACATTCTTCAGGATAGACAGTAAACTAAACCGCAAGATAAACCTCAATCAATTCAAAGAAGATAGAAATCATGAAAAATGTGTTCTCTGACCACAATGGAATGAAATTATAAATCAACAGCAGAAATAAATTTAAAGAGCTTACAAATACCTGGAAATTAACCTAGATAATTGATGGGTCAAAAAAGAAATTAGTAAGAAAATGAGAAAATATACTGAAAAGATTAAAACAAAGATACAGTATACCAAAATCTATGAGATGCTGCTAAATTAGCAGAAAACTTGTAGCTATATATGCCTACATTAGACAAGAGTAAGATCCCAATGTAATACAAGCTAACCTTGCGCCTTAACAATGGAGAAAGAAAAGCAGACTGTATCTTAAGGAAGCAGAAGAAAAGAAAATTTAAAGATTAGAGAGTAAATTAATAAAATTGAGAATAGAAAAACAATGGAGAAAATCAATGAAACCAAAAGCTGGTTCTTTGAAAAAAATCAACAGAATTGGCAGATCTCTAAAGAGACTGGGAATAAAGAGAGAAGACTCAATTACCAGAATCCGAAATGAAAGAGGAGACACCACTAAAGATTTTATTAAGAAATATTATTACAGGGGCACCTGGGTGGCACAGCAGGTTAAGTGTTGGACTCTTGGTTTTGGCTCAGATCGTGATCTCAGGGTCATGAGTTTGAGCCCTGCATGGGGATTTGTGCTCAGCATGGAATCTGCTTAAGACTCTCTCCCTCTCTCTCTCCCCTGCCCAACATGCTGTGCACTCTCTTTCTCTAGAATAAATAAACATTTTTTAAAAAGGAATATATTATAATAAATTAGATAAATTAAATAAGATTGACAAATTCCTAAAAAGACATGACAAAACTGACTCAAGTAGAAATAGGCAATCCAAATAGATACATCATGTGAAAATATTGAGTTAAAAAAAAAAACACACCCATAAAAAAAGGCCAAATTCAGATGGCATCAATGCTGTATTCTACCAAACACTTAAACAATAATACCAATTCTTCACAAGCACAAATAATATAAAAGGATGGAATATTTCCAGACTCATTCTATGAACCCAGTATTACTGATACAAAAACCAGAAAAAAAGATATCACAGGAAAAGAAGACTGCAGACCAATACATCTTTTTTTTTTTTTTTAAGTTTCCATTTATTTATTCGACAGAAAGATCACAAGTAGACAGAGAGGCAAGCAGAAAGAGGGAAGGAAGCAGGCTCCCTACCGAGCAGAGAGCCCGATGCAGGGCTCCATCCCAGGAGCTGGGATCATGACCTGAGCCAAAGGCAGAGGCTTTAACCCAATGAGCCACCCAGGTGCCCCAATACATTTTTTGAATATGGATGCAAACATCCTCAGCAAAATACTAGCAACATGAATCCAGAAATTAGACAAAGAATTATAAACCATGACCAAGTGGGATTTAAACCAGGTATGTAAGATTGATTTAACTTCCAAAAATGAATCAACATAATATACTAATATTGATAGAATAAAAACAAAAAAATTTTCAAGTACTTTCAAAAGACCCAGAAAAATAATTTGAAAAATATCTAACCCCCCTTTTTATATATATATACTGAACAAACTAGCAATAGAATAGAACTTACTCAACCTGATAAAGAGAATCTACACATGGGACGCCTGGGTGGCTCAGTTGGTTAAGCGGCTGCCTTCGGCTCAGGTCATGATCCCAGCATCCTGGGATCGAGTCCCATATCAGGCTCCTTGCTTGGCAGGGAGCCTGCTTCTCCCTCTGCCTCTGCCTGCCACTCTGTCTGCCTGTGCTCGCTCTCACTTCTCTCTCTATGACAAAAAAAAAAAAAAAAAGAATCTACACACACACACACACACCCCCAAACAGAAAAAAACCCAAAAAACTAACATATAAAAAAACCCCTCCAGTTTACATCATACTTGATGAAGTAAGACTGGGTGCTTTCTCACAAAATTAGGAATGCCCACTCTCCCTGATTTTATTCCACATGCTACTTCAGGTTCTAACTAGGACAAATAGGCAAGATAAATAAATAAAAGGTATCCGGATTGGAAAAGAAGAAGTAAAACTATCTCTAGTCACGGATGACATGATTTTTTATGTAAAAATCCCTAAGAAATCCATACACACAAAAGTTATAATGAACACATTTAACAAGGTTTTAGGATGCAAAATCAAGATATAAAACTTAATTATACTCTTATACATGTACAGTGAATAGATTGAAAATGAAAATTTAAAAATCGACTCCACCTACATAGCCTCAAAAGAACAAAATACTTAGGGATAAATTTAACAAAAGAAGTCCAAACTTACACTCTAAACATCGCACAATATTGCTGAAAGAAACTGGAGATCTACGTAAATGGAAATACATCCTTGTTCATAGATCAGAAGATTTAACGTTGTTCAGATTGCAATCCTTCCCAAATTAATGTGAAGGTTCATCAAATCCCTATCAGAATATCAAGGGACTCCTTTGTAAACATAGGCAAACTAATTCGAAATTCATATGGAATTTCAAGGGACACAGTATAGCTAAAACAATCTTGAAAAAGAAAAACTAAATAGGAGGAATCATATTTTCCATTTCATAATTTACTACAAGCACCTGCAATCAAAACAGCATAGTGTTGATATATGGATAAACAAAGATCAATGAATAAAATTGAGAGTCCAGAAATAAACCCACGTTTCCATCTAGTTTTCAACTGATTTTCGGCGTTAGGTGACAAGGTCATTTAATGGGGAAAGGACAGTCTTTTCAACAGATGGTGCTGGGAAAACTGGATATTCACATGCAAAAGAATAAACTTGGACCCTTATGCTGTTCCATATATAAAAATTAACTCAAAATGTATCAAAGACCAAAATACAAGAGCAAAAACTATAAAACTCTTAAAAAAAAACTGGGGTAAAAAACAAACCACTGGGGTAAATCTTCATGTCTTTAGATTTGGCAACAAATGCCACGATATGACAACAAAGCACAAGCAACAAAAAAAAAAAGATAAATTGGATTTCATTAAAATTAAAACTTCCATGCTTCAAAAGACATAATGTTATTAAGAAAGTGAAAAGACAACTCACAGAATGGGAAAAAAATTGCAAATCATGTATCTGGTAAGAGAATTGTATCTATAATACATACATAATTCATACAACTCAACAACAAAAATAACTCATATAACTCAACCCAATTAAAAAAAACCATTGAAGTATCAGAGTAATATTTCTTCACAGAAGATATACTAATATCCAATAAGCACATGAAAAGCACTTGGCATTGTTAGCCACCAGGGAAATGCAAATCAAACCACAAAGAAATGTCATTTCATACATAACAGGATGGCTAAAATCAAAATCTCAATGTTGACAAGAATGTGGATGAATTAGAATCTTCGTATACTTCTATGGGATGATAGAACAGCACAGCCGCTATGGAAAACAATCTGGCTGTTCCTCAAAAGGCTAAACAGAATTATTCCCTGATTCAGTAATTCTACCTCCAGTTACATATATGCCTAGGAGAAATGAAATCATGTGTCCACACAAAAACCTATACCAGGATGTTCAAAGTAGTATTATTTATAATAGCCCAAAGGTGGAAAACCCCCCAATGTTCATCAACTGATGAATGTACATACAAAATGTGGTAAACACAGAATGGAAAACTATTCCACTACAAAAAGAGATGAAGGACTAAATATGGTACAACGTGAATGAACCTTGAAAACATGATGCTAGGTGAAAAAAGTCAGTCACAAAAGACAACATAGTATATGATTCCATTTACATAAAATACACGGAATAGGCAAATCCATAGAACAATGTAGGTCAGAGATGGCTTACAGTTGGAAAGGCGAGAGGGTAATGGAAGGAATAGGGGATCTAAAGCTAGAGTACAGTATTTCAAAGTGATAAAAATGTTCTAAAACTGATGATAGTGGCTGCATTTATCTGTGAATATGCTAAAACCCAGATCACTGTACATAGTAATAACTATCGCACACTGTGAGTGATTTATATGGTATATGAGCTATATTTCAATGATGCTGTTTGAAAAAAAAAAAAAAAAGAACTCATATTTACTTCCTCTCTCCTATCTTGACTCTATTCAAGATTAAAAAATTACCAACTTTACCAAGATATGAGTTAAAACCTAGTAAGGGTTAATATCTGCCTTCAGTAGAGAGATTATATGGAGGCAAGAAGGGATTCTATGATCTATAGTCAACACTGAAGCAGATTCTCTTTATAAATACTGGTCATTTTTCTGGAAATATTTTATCTAACCATAATACATGCATATTTAATGTTATTACATGTATGTTTACCTGTTTTTCAAGAACAGTTCTTCAGGAAGATCTAGTACATCTGTAAGCAAACCAAAGAAGGTATAGAAGAATGATACCTTCCTAAGGTATCATTTCAGGAGGGACGCCTGGGTGGCTCAGTTGGTTAAGTGTCTGTTTTTGGCTCAGGTCATGATCCCAGGATCCTGGGAGAGAGTTCTGCCTTGGGAGCCTGCTTCTCCCTCAGCCTTCAGCTCCCTCTGCTTGTGCTCTTATCTCTCTGACAAATAAATAAAAATCTTCAAAAAAAAAAAAGGTATCATTTCAGGAAATAATAAATTGGGGTTTAATATTATTTTAAAATTCTTTCATGAGGGAAAGATTGCTTGCTCTTCCCCCTCCCTTTTTTAATTTATTAAAGAGTTAAATTTAACTTAGTAAAATACTGAGATTAACAAGATGAGAAGACAAAATTATACCCTAAGCAATTATGAAAGTTGCCCATAACTTTTTTCGAAGTTGTACACAGATCAGATTTAGTTCTGAAAAATATAAGGAAATTTAAAAGAATAAGTTACCCTTCACTTAATACTTTTATCTATATATACACAAAAACAATAAGGAAGACCTAATAAATGTTTTGTTTTAACTTCACTGAATTCTAAACGGTTTTCTTTGTCATGGGTTAAAGAGGAGGGAGTGGCGCTATATTTTCGTAGAGATCTCTTACAGCAGGAAGAGGGATTCTAACAGATAAACTAAAAAGTCACACACAAAACTTACTGACTTATTTTATTTTTAAGATTTTAATTATTTACTTGAGAGAGAGACAGTGAAAGAGAGCATGAGAAGTGAGAAGATCGGAGGGAGAAGCAGACTCCCCGCGGAGCTGGGAGCCCGATGCCGGACTTGATTCCAGGACTCCAGGATCATGATGCGAGCCGAAGGCAGTAGGTCAACCAACTGAGCCACTCAGGCGCCCCAACTTATTGTGGGGATAAATGTTCATCAATTACTTATTTCCAGCGGTGGGGTGGGACTGGGGCAGAAATCGCGCCGTTTGGAACTCAACTCTTTTCGAATAATTCGGATTCCCTTTCCGCAAGGACGCCTGACAGATGCAGTAAAAGTTGCTTAGAGTAAACTAAAGGGACCCAAAGACCAGGATAACCAGGATATCAGCAGGAAACAACCAGAGGAACAGTAACAGTACTGAGGGTCTCAGAGCGGGAGAAGAGGAGGCGACAACCTCCTGAACGCAGGAAAAAAAACGGAGCGCCGAAAGGGTGCAAGTTGATCATTCAAGGATTGCGGTAGGGGACGGCGGAGGGCGGTGAGGGACAAATAGCAGATGCGGCCATAAAAATGCGCAGGGACCCTCCGCGTGTCATCCAGAACTCAGCCCCCTTTTCCCTAAGGCCAGAGTGTCGTCCCAGGGTTCCCCTCCGCCGGTGCCCTACCTTGCCGACCTTGCCCCGGGGCCAGGAGCAGCAGCGCCAGTGCCCAGAGTCGGCCGAGCATCTTGCTGCCGCTCGTGGGGTCCAAAGTGTCGCAGAGCCCGGAGCCGTGGGCGCAGGCAGGATGGGGACACCTCAGACCTATCACAGGACTCTCTCGGCCGGTTCTTGCTAACTCTTCAGAGCCGCTGCGTGTTCTCGCTCTGGAACGCAGCAGTCCTTCCCAGGAATAGCGTCTTTCGCGCCGCCGCTTTGCGGCTACGTCCCGCTCCCAAGCCACGCCCACCCGGCGGGAAGCCACGCCCACTCCCCCCCCCTCCCTGGAGGCTGCGTCTGGCCCTTTGCGGCTGTGGCTCCACCACCTTGTATCTCAACAGCGGTCGCGTCCAGGGGACAAGCTCACGGCATATAGCATGGCCCCTCGCGTCTCACTGTTTTAACAAATGCTTTAAGACAACTTGATCATCCTGGAAATTGTTCAGATGGACCTTCAATAAAAGCCGCCTTGCGGGGTTCTGTTGGAAGGGGCAGTGCCCTTGATTACTCCTATAGACGGATTTTTAACCTGGTAATTGGGGGTGCTGACTTGCCTCCAAAGGTGCACATGCTTCTCAGAAGTTGCCCCTATCACCTCAGGCCTCGGTGATGAAGGATGGAAGGAGGGAGCGGAGATTCAACACTGGTAGCTCTCCTCCTCTGCCTCTATGACAGTTTTAAGAAGTGGAAGGGAGGACATTGAGACTTCAAAACACCTAGGGTTACCCATTTTATATTTGCTGTTGATTCCAGTGTTCTTTCAAGTTGTCCAATGGTGACCCAGTAACCCAGGATCCTGCCACACATAGTCACATGACTCCCAAGGCTGCCCGGGTGGATTGTCTTTCTTCTGAAGTTATTTTTATATGTGTGGTTGCCTCTGCAGAGGAAGCAGGTGCCCGCCTTAAAAAACAAACAAACAAACAAAACAAAACAAATTTTTTAAAAGATTTTATTTATTTATTTGACAGACAGAGATCACAAGTAGGCAGAGGCAGACAGAGAGAGAGAAGGGGAAGCAGGCTCCCCGCTGAGCAGAAAGCCTGATGTGGGGCTCGATCCCAGGACCCTGAGATCATGACCTGAGCCAAAGGCAGAGTCTTAACCCACTGAGCCACCCAGGCGCCCAAAACAAAACAAATTTAAAACCAAACAAAAAACCCCAAAAAACCCCACAACTGTTTCTGCATCATTCTATGTCATTAAATGAAACCTCACTTTCCTAGTTCTATTCAGCAGCCACAGTTCCTGAGTCCCCTTAGCCATCACTTGGGACTTTGCCCTCAGAGCTAGTACCTTAGGGAAAAGAAAACATTAGTTAACAGAAAGTAGTCCTAATGTCCTGGTGGGTTCCAGGATTCAGGCCACAGTTCCACTTATGGATTTGGAGGACTGAGGCTTGGATGAAGCATGATGATAAACACAGGAGATGCCCAAAAGAAGTCCTTCTGAAAATAGTTTATACTTGGGTGCCTGGGTGGTTCAGTCCATTAAGTGTCTGCTTTCAGGTCATAATCCCAGGGTTCTGGGATTGAGTTCCCCATTGGGATCCCTGCTCAGTGGGGAGTTTGCTTCTCCCCCTCCTTCTGCCCTTCCAACCTGGTAGTACTCTCTCTTGCTCACTCACTCTCTCTCAAATAAATAAATCTTTTTTTTTTTTTAAAGATTTTATTTATTTATTTGACAGATAGAGATCACAAGTAGGCAGAGAGGCAGGCAGAGAGAGAGAAGGAAGCAGGCTCCCTGCCGAGCAGAGAGCCCGATATGGGGCTCGATCCCAGGACCCTGGGATCATGACCTGAGCCGAAGGCAGAGGCTTTAACCCACTGAGCCACCCAGGCGCCCCTCAAATAAATAAATCTTTAAAAAAAATAGTTTATAACTTTTTTTGAAAGATAAATTGCAATTAAAGAATTTTAAGCCTGTTTCCAAAAGTGTAAGTATTAACTCATTTTGGGGAAAAAAAAAAACCTTTGCACTGCGTATAACTTGTATGTAGTCCCCTTTTACATGCAAAAAGGCACCCAATTATAGATATACAACAAAAGTGAAATATAACTTTTTGGTGGGGTTGGGCAGATGATTTTCATCTTCAGACCTAATTATGGAAGAAAAATTTAAGGTGAGCAGGATGAAAACCCAGAGATTTTTCAGTGTACATCTTTTATTTCAGCATATTAAGTCCTAATAAAATGGACAGAAGGGCAACTGGGTGGCTCAGGAGACCGACTCTTGATTTTGGCTCAGGTCAGTATCAGGTCAGGGTTCTGGGATCCATCCGTTTGTAGGGCTCCATGCTCAGTGGGGAGTCTGCTTGAGATTCTCCCTCTCCCTCTCCCTCTTCCTCTGCTCCTCCACCCTACCCAACCCCCCCCACAAGCCAGCTCTCTCTCTCAAATGAATAAATGTTTAACAAAAAACTGGGGCAGAAAAATAAACATCAATTGTCTCAGTTTATTTGTGAAATCACAAGGAATAAAGTAATAGCTATAAACAAGATAAAGTTGTAAAAAGCTTTTTGTAAATTTTTTTTGTCCAACAATATCTGTAGAAATGCAAGCAACGTTTATATTTTCTTGGAGGACAACATTACTTACCTAATTCTCAACAAATTATACAACTTAAAACAAATTATATAATTTAAAATACAGTGGGTCCCATTTTTCTCCTCAGTTTTTGACTAATGAATACTATTTTATGAGTTTATAATAGACTTGTAACAACCATTTTTCCTTGATATAGTGAGTTAAGATAGAAAAAAAAAAGAATTTAAATTGTTTTCCAAATCTCAATGGAAAATTTATCTACGCTGGCGTGGGTCTGCAAGAATATATCAAATAAAACTTAGTTACAGGATTGTGGGAAAAAACAAAGTAATAAAAATGATGTTTTAACATATATCTAGTAAAGTTCATCAAAAGTTGGTATAAGATTCAGATTTTTTCACTTTTTCTTTATTTTTTAAAAGGAGGGAAAAACAGTGGATGCATGGTACCACTAGTGTAAATATCGATGACACCAGGGAAATTATGGCAGGTATCACTGAGAGAGAAATAGTATAGAATATCTGGAGGAAGATGAAATGAAGCCAAGAGTTAATAAGTATAATGTAACTTGAATAAAGAGAAAAGCCCACCAACAGAAACTTCCATATGATGATTTTTTGCGGGGGAGAAGGGGAGAAAATAACTCTGCACTTGTCATGTTCATTTGCAAAATGATAATGAACTTGTCTGGGTAAAACCCCTCAAGGGGAAGCGAGAAGACAGAGCAAATTAAGTGTACTAACCTTGGAGTCAGGACACCTGGGCTCTAATCCTAGATCTGCCACCTATTTACTAGCTGTGTAACCTTGGACAGCATACTTAATGTCTCTTAACCTCATTTTTCTGCACAATGGGAATGATGATAGTAATACCTACTGCACAGAGTTTAAGAAAAAAAAGTGTGTATATGTGTGGGAATGGGTGCTGAGGAGGAGTGTGAAGAGAGAGCACTTAGCATCTGATTCAGAGTAACTAAAGTGAATGTATATAATAGTGTACTTTTAATAAAGTAAAGGTGCAACACCACATAATTATTCTTTTTCTTGTATCTTGTTATTATATAAAGGTGCATAGTTTCTCAGTGTTAGCCTGTAACAGTGTACAGTATAATTTGGAGTACACTTATTGAAAACACAGGTTTATATAATATATGAATTCCTTGGCCAGTGTGTGTTTTACTAAATGAGAGAGTCTGGCTCTCTCCCAGATACATCTACCTTTTTTGGCAAAAGCATCCGGGGGGGGGGGGGGAATGGGGAGAGGGGATAATGGCATTACCAAATCAATACTTAAGCTTCATAAATTAATGTCTTGGCTCTGAATCTGAGTTTATATCAGGAGGCTACTGCTCCCAGACAGAGACACTAAATGGAATAGATATCTTGCTCCCAAGACTAGCAAGTTCCTTTTTCTTAATGAGGAGTGAACTAGAGATGTGATACATTAAAGAAAATTCACTGAGAATATCCATTAACTGTGAATTTTATAGTGTTTATCGTGGGCATGCCTCTAGGAAATAATGTGGAAAACCTCGGAGAGGGGGGCTGTCTGCCTTGGCATGAATGCTGGTTATTATAATGAATCTTTCCACACCCATGTTCGAAGTAGCATTACTCACAATAGCTAAAATGTGGATGAAACCCAGGTGTCCACTGATGGACGAACTGTCAGCAAAATGTGGTATATGTGTGGAATGGAATATTATTGTTTTAAAAAGGAAAGAAATTCTGATACAATACAATACAAATTCTGATACAAGTACAGAAGTTCTGATACAAAACATGGGTGAACCCTGAAGACATTATGCTAATTGAAATAAGCCAGTTCAAAGGACAAATACTGTATGATTCCATGTATACAAAGTACCTAGAGTAGTGAAGTTCATAGAGACAGAAGGTAGAATGGTGGTTCCCAAGGACTGGGGGTGGGGGCAATAATCAGTTTGGAAAGATAAAAAACTTCGGGAGATGATTGGTGGTAATGGCTACACAATAGAGTGAATGTATTTATTCCTACTGAAATGTACACTTAAAATGGTTAACCTGATAACTTTATATTACATATATTTGGCCACAATAGGAGAAAACAAGTAAAATGAATGGATCTTTCACCCATCAGCCAGAAAGCAAACCTTTTATTTAAACAGATCTCAACATTATTGGCTTGAAGGAGATTTTTTGAAAATATTCAGTTGAGTAAAAATAGCTTAACCTCTGACAGAATTTACTTTGAGACATAAACTCATACTCAGAGGTTGACAAATTGATTACACCTCCACCAGCCATGCAAAACCACATAAATTGCAACATAGGGCCATAAGATTTACCAGCTAAGCAGTTTTCCTATCTTGTCAGTCACAATACTTTATATAATACTGAGAAATTACTTTTCAAAGATTTGTTTTTGTCACTTGTACACAATAAAAATAGCTTTTATGAATAGTTATTTTAATAAGGAAATTAACTTGTTTCAACTTAATATTTTCCATGATGTGATTTAGAAATGAGATTAGAATACTAAAGTTCCTTTGAATGGAGTTGGAAAAGGTGTATATTATCCCTTTCAACAGCCATCCATATACATAAGTATTACCGTTTGCTTCCAAAGTACATATTATAAAATGCCTTTATAACTGAACTATCTTC